TGCAGAGGGCAGCTGACACATTCGATGCTATGCAGCACAGTGTATCTGCTTGGATGCTTTTGTCATTGGCCAGCATGAGCGGCCTTTGGCTGCTGATGCTGCGGTGGTGTGTTTACAGCACTGGGACACATCGCTACAATGGGTTGCAGCCCAAGTGTGCCCTACTGTGCCATGCTGATGGAATTTTTGCCATTGAAATCTTGTTCATGCACTGCTTGTAGGCCACATTGACTACTGAGCCAGAAGCTGGGGTTTCAGAAAGCGATTCTCCTGAGATGGAAGTTATCGTGCTCGATTCCGAATGGGGTACACATTCTGTGCAAGGAACACTCAGCACATCGATGGCGCCAGATGATGTGTATGGCATTTTGACAGATCATGCGAATTGCCACAAGGTGTTTAGAAGCATAGAGGACTGCACAGTGGAAACAAACGAAGCAGGAGAGAGAGTGCTGCATCAGGTGCGATGTACTTTGTGTGCACCTTTGCCTGTGCTGTTGATGTGTGATGACTGCATAGAGACTGGTTCTATTGCAGAATGCCATTCAAATACGCAGGTCACGAATCCTACAGCCCACAATCTGTGGTGTGCTGTGTGCGGCTGTTGAAATCATGAAATACGCACACTTGCACAGATCGCGTGGGTGGTGGTATTGGTTCTCTATCAGGGAAAAATAACTCCAGGCAAGCAAATGTTTGATGCTGTCACATACACGGCCACTCCTGTTTCTTGGTTTTGGTTTGTGGCTTAGCACCCTTCCCTATTGATACGATTGCCTTCTGCACATGGGCACTGAATGTGGCCCATTTATTTGTTGGGCTGCTTGTCAGCTTTCAAAGAAGTGTTAGCACAGTGATTCATCTGCCGTGGACGTGATGTTTGTTGTCTCCTTCACACTTGTAGCTTGGTGTGGCTTGCTTAGCATTGTATCTGATATGCCCCTTGTGCTTCCATTATGCACAGAAGTGCCGGTGGGAGTTTTTTGCTTTCCATGGCACATTCCAAGTTCTTATGGATGTCAATGAAGACGCCAAAACGAGGGTCCTCGAATGCAAAATGCTGAACAAGGGCTTCATGCAGAGGCTGCATGGGCGGTGGCAGGTGCACGACAGGGAGGATGGTGTCTGCCATGTGGAGTATGTGTTATCTGTGAAGCCGCTGATATCACCACCACCACCGTTCTCGGCGGGCAGGATTTTTGCTGCACAGATGAAGCAGATACTGGAAGATCTGCATTTGAAGATTGTTGCGCAAACAAATGTGTGAAATTGTTTGCAGGTGCAGGCCAGATGATAGCCAAGAGCTCCCATGTGCTTAGGGACTGGGATTTTGTCGAGCAGCAGTGTTTGCTTTTGATCCTTGCACAACAACCTGATGTTGGTATCAGAATTTTGGAAGAAATGCAGGATGCTGTGAGGGTCCTTGCAGTCAGGAGTTTTGCATGATGGAGAGGAGGCCACTGAGAGTGGGGATATACGGTGGCATTTGGAGCATGAAGTTTCGTTTATCTTTGCACTGTTCTGAGCAAATTACTTGTACAGTTGGAATGACAGGAGGGACAGTGGGGTCCTTGGTTTTGCCTTGTAGTTCAAGAGTATAGGAGGGCGGAAAATTTAACAACGTTGCAGTGCACTACCTGGCTGGTGGTGCAGCCAGAGCCAGGTGCCCATCGGGTACCCCAGCGCAGGGACGAACGTCGTCATGGGCGATGTGGCTGGCCCAAAGCTGAGAAATGGAAGTCAGCAAACCTGCTGAGCAACCGAATCATTTGGTGTGGTTTGGACAGCTTGTCGCAACGCAATATGCATGCACCCTGCATTGCAAAAGCTGTTGGGACACCTAGTCCTGTCTGCCGGTCCTACGAACTGGGCCTGTCATGTCAGTAGTGTCATGTCGGCAGGCCATGTCGGTTTTTGTCCACTGCCAATACGGTGCAGGGGTCCCCGAGTGCGGCAGGAGTAATTCGCAGCTTTAAACGGGAAAGCTGGGGCCCGAACGACACTCGATTCCACGCGCTGACGGCTTCAAGAATATTGAAAAGGATGTTTTCTGGCGACAGTCCATCGCGTACAACACAGCGCGCGAATCTGCCTGAAAGTGTGTGCATCTTCACATTCGGTCAAGTATTGTAAATCTGCCCCGCTTGCTCGGAGTCTCGAGTGCTTTGGCAACAGGCACATACCAGAGAAACCGAAGAGAGTCAAAATTCAGCCGCGGGCGCTTGCGTCCAGTTTGATGCCACACTAAGCATCTCCCAAGTCACGCCCAGTAAGTTGTCGACAAGGCTGAAATAGCCAAACCAAAATGCATTACGAGACACCACAAAACATGGCGACGAAAAACTGCTCAATTGCACGGTCCCTCTGGAAGAGCACAGATTGGGGCTCTTCCCCATGCAGTCGAGACCAATTTGCGAATAACGCTTTTGGATCCAATGGCTGCATGGTGGCTGTACCAGTTCCATCATGTGAAGATATTTGCAAATGGCTTCGTGGCAAGTTCGCTTCCAACAAAGTCGACAAACCCGCCACCACTCCATAGATTCCTGCTGTTCCATATTCTCGATGGGCATGCCGTATGCATTTCCACTGACACAAGAACGACACAGTTTCTCACCTTTATGGTCATCCCGACCATGCACAATTCAATGTGTACAAATAGTGGACCGAATCGCAAGGGGTAGAAGTAGCTATGACGTTGTGAGCAATGCGAGTTAGACCCAGCAGTCTGAGCGTTCAACTCTGTGTTGGCGGACCCAACGTACTGGACAATGGTGCTTGGGCCAAATCACATTGTAGGATCCGATCTTCGATTGAGGAATTGCCTTATGAACCCGATGGCAAAGTTTCTGTCGGCGACTGCCTTACGAAATATCGCACAAAGCCTAATGCGAATTTATCAGAGACAGCAAAACTCTGTAGTGTACCGACCATACAGCTTGTGCTTCCAACTTGTGAATGTGTGTAACGGAACGTGGTTTCCATTTGCGCACGTGTGCACAAAGGTCAATGTCATTTGTTCGGGTCGCCAATAAATTGAACCAATCTCACGTAAAAATTGGCAGTCGAGTTGCTCACGTACTATCACTAAGCTGCAGCCCCGTGAGGCCCAAAATGTGGTCTAGAATTCAACGGATAGACCATGGCAGACTGTGGTGCAACATTGAGGATGAGATCGTCAACAGCAAGGGACATTGAACATCATCAACGGCCATTTAGGCCGTGGCCAGAGCAGCACAATGTACACGCAGCTGTGGGCATGCACTACGTCAGTGCATTGAACTCAGACTTCAACTGCGAGGAAGGCCGTCTGAATTGGCAGGGGTATCAAAGCCAGAATGATGTGAAAACTGTTCGAGATGGGTTGCATAGATGTGTGATGTTGAGTCATTTCTGATTAAAATTTGATGTTTTTTTTTCTCTGATGACACTTGACCTCCAGAATGGCAACATGACCTGTTTGCTGAATGAACATCAGAGATGGCATTTGCTTTGCCATGTGCTGACTTGAATAGAATAATTATGGCTGCGCTGGTTGAGTGACATATTACACTTGCATTGCCACGATGGCAGCTGTGTGAAGTGGGGCAGTTTTGTAATCGAATGTGATGACCGAAGGGCAGAAGGCTCATGGCCTAGGCTGCGTGTCGTCTGGTGTTGATACAATCCATGCATGAGGAATAAATGAGCGGCTGGTAATAGCATACAAAAGTGGGACCCCCGTTAGAGGATAGGACGGGCTGGGAGGGAATCGTAGGTGAGCTCCCAGAGTTGGATTGACTTTTAAAGGATCAAAGCGGATCTGATGCGCTGACATGTACGAGGTTTCGAGGGCCTATTTTGGGTGGCTGCCGCAACATGTGCGGCGCCACAAAGTCGCGCTGCCCGCTTTTGGAGGGGATGCAACGGAACGAACAAAAGTTTGTGAAGTTGTAAGCGCCTTGATGGCGTTCTCTTCTGAGTGTGTGGCCTTTGCGCGCAGGTCGCGGCGTGTAGCCCGACCAGTTTGGCTTCAAAGCCAGCGGTTTTCGGTCACAAGCGTTCGGGTTTCAGCGTGATGCCCCCATGGCATGCTCACCGTTCGGGCTGGTTGGTTTTCTGAGTGAATCTGTGAGAATTGCTGCGGTTTCTGTCAGCGTCTCTGTCCACGCCCTTCTGGATTGCATGTGCCTGCACATGCATGGCTAGTGGGAAGGTTTTGCCAGTGTTTCTGTTGCCGATCTGCCAGCAACATGCATTCAAAGCGACCCAATGTCGCCACCTTTTGCCGCTCTCTTCAATCGCTCTGGAATAGGGACGGGCAAATCTTTTACAGTCTTTCACTGTGCTACCCAAAGGGTATGGCCATGTTTCGGCAACGGTCTTTGTGCATTGGTATCAGAGCCTGTTGAATTTCAGCAACGATTTTCATCGTATGACCCATCGGCCACGGAAGTTGCTGCTAAGCGTATCCCTTGAACTACAGTAGCATTAATGACACCACATCCAAGCTTTCCAGAGCCAAGCGCCAGTCTCGTGAACGGTAATCCAGGCTTCATTTCATCTCCGCTCAATATCCCGATTCTCACTTCATCGCTTCCCTTTAGCAAGTTCGTCCCAACACAACAATCATTACAAGCAATGTACTGCAAGTGCCCATCACCTTACTAAATACAAACCCGAGGCAGCCCACTTGAGTTCTTCGCTTCACCCTGGTTTCCGCCACGCTAAGCGTGACGCAACCCCGAGCCAAGGCCGCCAGCTTCGTACGTAACACCCACAACATCCAACACGTGCAGTCATCTAACCCCATCTAACTGTGGCTAACCGAAGCTTACTCTGCTGGAGCGAGCCCTAATATGGGCGATCCGGTGTAAAGGACTGACGCGACTCCGGTCCACACGCGAACAGAAAGCAAGCACTCGCCAGAAATTGGTGCCCTGCCTCCGTTCAGCACCCTGGTCGCAAGTACCTGCGCTTGGGTCGCTCTTGTGCTCTTGTTTGGAGCGGATAAGTGGGCAATGCCGTCCGTGGGGGGGTCGCTGACGGGCCTGCTGTGCCTGGTGGTGACCGTCTGGGTTGTGCGCATTTTGCGCAAGAGGAAGTCCGCGACCGTTTCCCCGGAGGACAATGTGGGCAAACAGAAGCTGGGAAAGCTCTCGGCGAGGGCGCTGGTGATGCTGGTGAGTTGCGCCCGCACAATCCGCGCTGCCGGCCACCGCTGTTGGGCTGAGCGCACCGCCCACGGTGGTGTTGGCGGGGGGTGGCTGGTGAGTGAGTCGGTTCACGGGTCGGATTTGGGGCTTGGTTTCGTCTTGTTGGGAGTGCCGTGCCTTGGCTTGCTGTTGGGGCGAGGCACGCACCGCAGAGGGGGGCGTGGTTCCAACATAGGATCGTGGACATGCATCTGCCCACAACAAGGAATGGGCATTGGGAACTCCCCTGAGGAAGCGGTCTGATAGGCCCTTTTAGGTACCGAAGAGCATGGCGGGGGAGTCTCTGATTGTTGCAGCAGTATAGGGGCTCTGTGGGTTGACAACCTGTGGCGTGGTGCAGATTGAATCCGATGCAGTTCCACACATCGTCGTGGATGTGAGGGGGCCGGAGGAGAGGGGTACACTTCCTGAATTGCTGAAAAGAGCATCTGGTGGCTTCCTCAGGGCCCAAGGTGCGGATAGGATCGATGATGATGATGAGTGAGGATGGGGACAGAGATTGATACACCAGCATATGGGTTGTGGTTGTGTCCTGGACAGTGCCTGAGTTTGGAGACACACCTTGTCTGCATCATTCCTTGGACGTCGGTGGGATCTTTTGCGTGCCGATGTGGGCATTGCAGACGTTGAGTCAATGGCGGTTCGGCTTTCCTCATGAACAATCTCTTGGCCATCTTGACATTCATGTGATCCTGTCCATTCAGCAAGTGAGCTCCGTCCCCTGTTTCAGAGGAGGAACTCCGCCGATTTGTCTCAGAGGAACTTCAAACAGACGCTGCCAGGGAAAAAGACACCACGGAAGGATGACCTAATTGTCTTTGTTTGTGAGACTGGAGACAACAGCATGAAGGCAGTGGAGGAAATGGAGGCCCTAGGGTACAAATGGTGAGTCTGTGGAACAGGGACACCATGCATTCTGAGGGGTGGGTAGCAATGTGTGGGCACCTTTGTGCTGCCAGCTGCGGAGCCGTTCAGCAAGTTGGTGTTCCAGGGACATTCGTCCTCAGGGGAGTCCTCTTTCAGTTGGCTTCAGTCCGCTCTTGCTATGTGGCCCTGACAAGAGAACAAAGGCATCTGATTTGGTGTGTGGTGGTGCTGTGGCAATGTTCGATGTGCTGTTGTGGTAAGCCAGGCCTATGGACAATAGAAATATCTTGTAGTGTTTGTGCTGCCTGACTCCTGGAAATGGTCAAACTTTCTTTATTCCAAATATTGCAGCACAGCCAGTGGTGAGGTGCCACTGCCAGCTTAGCACAAGACATGCGAAGCTTGTTTTCGGTCGACCCTCGTTTGTTGTGGTTTAGTCTTCCTGTGTTCATGCTGCTTGTGGGAGTATGTGCATTCAGTGTCTTTGCTGTTCTTTTCTTGTGGGGACTTGCTGTGGCAAAAGTTGCCCATCTTCGGAAGATGTGATGTTTGCCTCTGTTCGTTTTCGAAGCATGTGAATGCATTCTGGTAGGGTCCAATATGTCTGCGGTTGCACTTATGGTGCAAACCATATTGCAGCTGCCGGAGTTTTTTGACTCTGAATGGTCTGATCTTTTCAGTGCTGTCTACCTCGATGGTGGTTTGGAAGCACTGAGGCGCAAAAGCATTGTGCCGGCCAATCCAAAGTGCATCAGCAGACATGCTGTGGCTGTTCTGTTGAAGTTCACAGACACACCACCTTCTCTTGAAGCTCTATTTATTGACGTCCGGAGGTCAGATGAGCATTCAATATTTGGAACGATTGAAGGGAGCAAGTTCCTCAATGGTAACAATCACAAGAAGAGCCTGGCTGTTTGCCAATTGTTGTGACTTGTGTGTGTTTTTTTGGTGGGTGGCACCTCATCATGTGCCTTGCAATGAACGGAATTTGAGGAGTATCGATGTTGTGTGAATATGGAATTCTGTTCCTTGGAAGTTGTCTATGTAACATGCATGTCACTGTTTGTCATTCAGTGGACTAGTTGCTTGTCTCTGATGATTTGGACAGTTTTGATTTTGGATCTGGCACTTGCTTGCCTTTTTGCCTGATTGCCTTTTTGCAAAGCAGTCAAGCCTGTGGCAATGGGTGCGCTGAGGTTGCTTGTTTCATACCCGGCATGAATCCTCACAATCTTTGTTGGCTTCCAGTATTCATTCTATCTAAGATGTTGTCATAGCAACATATTGCCCAAGCCTTCTTTCTGAGCCACTCAGTAGTGAACAGTGCTCCTCTGAGGAAGTCCCAGCAAAAAAGGGTGATATTGAAAAAGCGGATCCAACTTCTGACACATGTTGGCAGTGCCCAAGCAGGCCATGCTAGTGCTGCAAAGGGCTCAGACAGGCAGCGGCCTGATTAGTGGCAAACGACACCTGGAAGCTGTGCAAGAACAGTTTAGCAACTTCACTGCATTGTATGAGTACGGATAGCCATGTATGTTTAAAGTGGACTGCCCGTTGGCCGATCTGTATGGTACCCAGCATTCAGAAGTGTGCTTACAGCTGTCTGCTTACGTCTGACACTGGCATTTGTATGCTACCATTAGGTACTCCTTTGCACCCTCCTAAGGGCCACCCAACCTCCATAACTGTAGATGCAAAACTGAATGGAGAAATTGGTGTTGCTGGCTGAACAATATGCCAGAGTAAACTTCCCAGAAAACGTCGGCAAGAATTCAAAGTGCATAATTGTTGAGTGCAGAATGGTATTTTGTGTTTTCAGCTTCTGAACTTTTAGCCGACAGCAATATCGGAAGATGTTGAGTCCACTTCAAGGACAGCATTTCCACGAGAGGAAGGTATTGGAAGCTGCAGAAATGTCGAAATTGACCATGCTCAGTTCAATGAACAGTCCTAGCTATTTCGTGCAGCTACCTTTTTTCACAGTAGTGAACATATGATTGCCTTGTGTGCCCAGTGAACGAGCTTCCCAAGGCCCTGAGGCTGGAGTTCAGTGAGTTCGAGAGCAAGTATGGGTTTGCCAGGCCCAGGCAGGACGATGTGGTGGTGCTTAACTGCAGGACTAACAGGAGAGCCAAGTGGGCTGCTGCAATGTGCGAAGATGCTGGTTTGAAGAGGTGAGAAGTTGCTCACAGCCACAAATTTGCCCACAAGGCAGAAACCCCCTACACATGGCACCGGACCGGCTGCAGACTGGCAACGCACCAAGTATCCCACAGGCGCGCAGAGGGCCCCCTTTGGTCACGAAATCTTGGAAAGGTCCCCTTTCTGTAATTTTCCTGTCGTACTCGGAGACTCTATATCATCTTATAGTAGTATGGAAAAGAGTCTCACAAACACCTGCTTAGGAGGGGGGGAGTGGCCCGTTTATGACCTGTCTCTCGATGTAACAAACAAATCTTATCTGTTATTTTCCCAAATTAGATCTACCCTTGCCCTGCTGGGGCCAGTGCTTTGCAGCTGATCTCCAAGCCTTTGTACGTGTACCTGATCTTGAAGCCAGGTCAGCGTGGGTTGCCTGGAATGGCCGAGGTTGGAGTCCAAGGCTAGCCTGGGCAGCGACTGGCACCAATTGCAGTAAGAGTGTTGTCTTTTGTACAGACAGCCTGTGCCCCACAATCCACGGCTGTGGAAGTGGTGAAGGTACAACACCTTGTCTAATCTTTCTTGCAAGGACATGTGGTGCAGCAGAACCATACAACTGTTGCGATGTGGTTGCTTGGTGCGTGTTTGGCTGTTGAATGCCCTCCGCAAGCTGTGTGATCCACACTGCACCACCTCAGGAACGAAAGATATTGCAGGAAACGCTCAAATGTGTTGTTGTTCTCTCACAGGGTGTATGTGCACCAGCACGGTGTCCATGGATGGCACTTCCACGCTGGAGTGAAGATGTACGACGCATATGACCATGGGGATCCGATCCCCAAGCCAAAGGACTTCCAAATTGAGCGGCCAGACGTCGATGCAGCCTGGCGTGAACTGGAGGATCTCGGTTTGGGACAGCGACCAACTTCTCCTGTGCCCTCCATCACCAGTCCACACACTGCTGGCCTGGCCAACAGTGCACCATTTGTCTCTGGCGTCGAGCACAGCCATCGTACGGCTGCTGCAGCCCAGACATAGAGTGCCTGTCTGCTTTGCACCCCTCTGAGGGTTGATATTCAGTCTTTCATGCAGACGCCCTGCGATCGCATGGTGTGCTCCGCCGGCAGGGGTTTGAGGCAGCGAGCCCAAAGAGCATTGTCAGGAGCATGGAGTTGGGTGTTGATTTTTGAGACAGGAAGGATGAGACTGCCAGGCGTTGCCTTTGCTGCAAGCGCAAAAAACTCAGGAAGCGGTGCCAATTTTGGTTAGTGGCATCTTTGCGTGGGAGAGCAGGATTCGCAGCTGCACCACTCAGAATAACTGGGCAACTGCGTCGCACTGGGACGTGCGCTCAACTTGCATTGGCCTTGGTCCGATCTGCGTCCACCTTGGGCGGCTCTTGGCGCTGAGCATGCCTCACATCTGTATCGCTGGGGTTTTGGTGTAAGGCGCTTGGCATCAGTATTTAGAGCCGTTGTGGATGTCAGAATTGTTGTCACGCGTGTTGTGGATAGGATACCAGTTCACTAAGCGGATCGCGATCGTTGATTGGGTTGAAGGCAATGTCGGCATACACATGGTTCGCGGACGTGCACGAGGAACGGGTGTTTTCCGAATGTGCACCCAAACAGCGGTGCAGACGATGACGTATCGAGTTTGATGGAGCGTACGGCTAAAACGAGATGTTGTCAGCCACGCTGTCAGTTTTGAGAGGCAAGATGTTACGAAGATTTGATGTTGCACCCTGTGGGAGACTCCAAGATACCTTGGACATTTTTTGCGGGAGTCTGACTGTCGCAGTACTCCAACTCACGATATGTTGTAAAACAGTTCAGGCTGCGATACCCCACCCGACCCCATCACCATCCCAAAGACGCGCGTATGCAACATGTTGGGCGCTGTAGCTCCAATCGGTGCATCGCTGCTTCTGAACATAGTCCAAACCGCCAGTGTGTGCTCCCTAAACTCACCACCAGAGCTGAAACCTGGGTACCGAGCATTGTGGCCATGCACATGAATGCGCTGCAAACTTGTGTGCAACAACGAAAGCCAGTCGTTCATTTGCCACACAGAGCAACCGAGAGTGCAGGCAGCTGTGTGAGTACTATGTGCCATGCAGTGGCCCTGCACTCCACATAATGCACGTTGCAGCAAGGACCTCCAATGAAGGTCCTAGCCACTGACGCTCGCTTCTGGACTTATGCCAACTAGGTTTCTGGTAACGCGCGCGTTGTCAGCCATGGTTAAGCAGCGCTGGGCACCAGGATGCCGGCTGCACTTCGTGGTTGCCCTTTCCCCTGAAAAACGGGGGCGATTGTCAGTGGGCCAGCGACCAATCAAACCCTACATGAGGTGAGCGAAGATTTTCAAGACCGGGTGGCCTTGATGCAACACAAGTGGGGCATTCTGGCATGAGATTCCAGCCAGTTTTGGTACAAGTACGTGTTCGAAAAAGGGCAGGAGCAGCGTTGCCAAGGTGCTCCCGGAGCATGTCGTCTTTGTACTATTGCCGTTGTGGGGTGTTTTGGCTTAGTCCGACATATGCTAACGAAGAATACCAACCTTAACACAAATGTGTTCATACGAATCTCTACCTAATCTCTTCCATTTAAGCAGGGCCACTTGTTCACATAAGCGCTTCCTGTATTGTTAAGGACGGCGGTCCATTCTGGCCGTCATTCCCGGAGATAGCACAGTCAAATCACCCCTGAACGGGCAGCTGAGCTACGTCGAAAGCGTCAGCACCACGTCAGTTGAGGGTGCACTGAACGAACAAGCTTTGCTTCTCGAGCGAACTGGCTCTTCACAAAGAACTGCTCGTCGCGACGATGCCAGCCACTAAAAATAGCAGCGACGGCAAGGAAAGCTTCAGACGAGCGGCAAACATCCAGTTGAGCGTCAAGCATGCAAACGCGCTTGGAGAGCCTCACAACTGCCCCCTAGAGCGCCACAGCCGCTTGCGGCCACTCCCCAAAGGTCGGCGAGGTCAGGGCACAGGTCAGCCCCACGGCTCAGAGCAGCCTTGTCCAGAGCGTGGCGATACAATACACAAAAGATGCTTCTTTCCGCCTCGACGAGGCTGTGCAGCGACGAAAGTTCATCACTTTTGGCCGGCAGCCCGACCGCACTGGCAGCGCTGGTTTTGAACGTCAAGGAAAGGGTCTCAGAAACGGCACAGACTGGCCGCGACCTTCGAAAAGGTCGAGCACTACTGCGCTCGGGCCGTGGCGGACGATGTGCACATGGCCGGGGAGTCAGGAAGACAGGCTGAAAGCCTACACAGCAGCGAGAGGCACACCCGAACACCGCGCAACCGTTCCTACAGCTGCCAGGCCAAGTGCAGCAATGCAAAGTCCCCCCCTATCGATCCCCACGCCTTCAGTACCTGTAACCCCTCAAGCTCTGGCAAATGCCCCCCTTTCCTCAGAGATGCTCTTTTGATACCCCGAATCTTTCTGCCACAGCCGCCGTTTCACCGCAACTCAAGCCGGTGCGCCCCATTGCCTGCGATCAGAAAGTACATAATACCCCAAGGGCCATATTCCCATCAAACACGCACACTTCCCGTGATCAACAACCACGTAATGCCCCAAGGGCCATATTCCCATCAAACAACCACGTGGCGCCTCCACGTGGCCCTCCTGGCTCCGTCTCACCGAGGTCCATGGCAGACCGCCAGGCGGGTAGCCCTAAGCAAAAGCACGCATCCAACAGCAACTTGGGTGCCCTCAGCATTTCACGGCATTTCCTGGGCGTGTCTTACTCATGTGTCCCCGTGTGATGCGTTGCCAGGCACTGGCGTTCTGCTCAGCATTTTGGCAATATTGCCTTGGACTCCTTGGGCGTATGGGGAGGATTTGGTAGTCTATGTCTATCATCGAAGTTGTCTTCTTGCTTCTTAAATGTCTTGGGGCCTTGCGATGCTAGAAAATTCTGTAGCACGCCTGACTGATGATTTTTGGGTTTCCGCTTCATAGAGCCCCAACCTACTGGATGATAGTCAGTGTGACGAATGTGCTGAGGCTGTCGGCATCCCCTATGCAGCATATCTGGACTCACGGGTCGCCATCTGAGTGGTATCATTAATGAATATTCATGTAGTAATTTTGTGATGAGCCCCATTTATTAGCGACCCGAACAGTATCTAAAGGCACACAGCTACCCAGGGCCCCACTGCGTGGGATGGCCTGAGTGTGGCACCAGGATAGCTGTACAAGACACGGCATAAAATACAATCCTCTTCAACGCAACGAGGGAAAGTGCCAAATGCAAGTGTTCAGGTGTTCGTATTTTAGATGCGTTGAGTGCCAATGGACAAAATCGAGAAAGGCAGCAAGACAGAAAGAGAAAAGAAATGGAGGTCGGGGGCCACTGGCATGTTCAAACGATCAATGCCCTGCAACAGACCAAGGGGTTCGCATTTCCCTGCCTTTATTAATTGCATCCCCTGGTCGTTTTCGAGATCCTTCGGATGGGGGTTATTCCCATCATTTTCTTTACTGCCTTGTTCAACAGCGGCGCCCCACCCCAGGCCCAAAAACAATGTGAACCGAGTTGCGCCGGCCAGCGCAATGCAAGTGCCAAATCCTCAGTCCTAATTTGCCCTGAACGGCAGGTTCGGGCCGCCGCACCCTGCAGGTGACGACTGGCGATAATGCACCCGCTACGCGCGCAGTCCCTCGTCATTCACCACCTCAACAACAGGAGCACGGAATGAATGGCGCGACGAGAATGGAACGATCGAAGCGACGCCCCCGAACGCTGCCCGGGCCGTCGCCGTCGAATTCTGTCCCAAACGCGCAGGCCGGCGGCAAAACACCGCATCGCGCGCCCCGCTCGCGTCGCGACCCGTCCGCGATGCTCGGCCTGAGGCCGCGGGCCGTCCCGATCTGCCCGTCGGCCCTGGCCGGCGCGGCAAACCCGCCGGGCCCCAAGGTCCGGGACGCTTTGTCCCACACTGTCCGCAGCGGCGACACCCTGTGGAGCATATCGCGCGCCCACGGCGTCAGCCTGGCGGAGCTGCGGCGGCTGAACGGCGTGCCCGCGAAGGTGCGCCACCCGGTGATCGTGCCCGGGGACCTGATCATCTTGCCGCCGGGGGCCGGATCGACAGGCGGCCAGCGGCGCCGGTTGAAGGAGGCGGGGGAGGGGCGGCATGGGGCGGCGGGGGTCTCCGGAGAGGCGGGGAGGTCGCGGCGAAGCGGCGCATCGGAAAATGAGGGTGCCGTTTGGGGGGGCGTGGAGTCGATTGGGGCCTGGGGGAAGGAGTGTTGGCGTCTTGTGTTTGGCAGCGGAGGGGGAGGTGGCAGCCGGACGGAGGGATTGATGCGCGCCAGGGTGGTAACGGAGGAGAAGGAGGGCATGGGAAGGGTGAAGCGGAAGCTGGCGGCCGGAGCGGGGAGCGCGTCGGCGGGCGGGGCCGCGCGCGGGAGGGCGGAGGTCGTCTGTGATCTATGGGGTGAGGAGGTGCGCGGGGGGAGGGCCGGCCGTGGCTTTGGGCGGCCCTTGCGGGCAACTTCTTCGGCGGCGGGGGCGCGTGGACAGTGGCTTGTGCCCGCTGGCCACCCAAAAGGCTGTCTTCCATCGCCATGAACGGCTTGCAGCTGCCGGAAATTTGCAGTGGGGGAGATGGTCGGTCGGCTGCATCGGCCAAGTACATGGCAAAACTTTGCCGAAAAAACTGAATCAAATTTGAAGGATTCAAGTTGCGCATTCTGCGCAGTCTGATGGCGCAGCATTACTTGCCAAAGCCTTCACCAGCGTTTGCTTGAGAGGCTGCCATGGTCAGGTGACACGCGGATTCCTCCCCGCCCTGCTGCAACCGCTGTCTGAGCGTCTGCACTCTCGAAATTGCTTTCATTCTGTGAGCTCGCAAATGTGAAGACCTAAACTACCTATTGGTGTGCTGGACAGAGTGCAAAAAGTCAAGAGTGAAGGCCACTTCGGTCGACGAAGTTGAAGGCATGCTGTCGAGATTAGCTGCCGGCACTTTGGAGAAGGATGTTCTGCTTGTTGTGTATGCGCCATGGTGCCCACACTGCCGAGCACTCGAGAAAGAGGTGCGATCTTGTGCATGCCAGGAGTAGGTGCTTGGGGAAATAGGCGCAAATTTTTGAATCACGCAATGTGCCGCCAATCCGATCCCTTGTGGCGAGAAGTTCGCCATCCGCAGCCTCTGCCTGCACGGGGCATCGCCAGCATCGCGTACAGCATCGCAAGCAATTTTGTCATTTGAAACAGGGTACACGGCCGCTGGCATGCCAACAAAATGACCCGATAAGGGGCCAGCGGTCTGGGTTAGTCAGAGCACACAGCGCGTGCAGGTGACCGAACTTGCATTTGTCATTTGGAAACCGCTATCAGCACAAATGTGGAATTCCACGTTCGATTCATTTGCCGCGCGAACACAGTTAACGTGCTGTGAGATCGCGTCTCACCATCCTCTGCGACGTTTTTATCCCAAAGCAGTCAAACCGAAAGAACACTAGGGCAAAGGCTGGTCCTGTACCAGTCTTCAATATACTGGAGAGGAGAGGAACACGACCGCCCACGTCAGGATCCACGCCTTACTTCCTTTGGATTACACTTTCCCGTAAGGGAAGACGCTATGTTGATTTTGGTACGCTTAGCCTCAATTTGACGTTTAGATCAGACACACATACACACACACAGACTCTCCTTAGCGCGACACAGCAACATTACCTAACAGTGGTATTCAACTTCCAGGTGTTTCTATGAAGAAAAACAACGAAAGTTGTGCTGATTTCAGTGGGCTGAAAAGTGGGATTGCAAATGCCATTATAAGTGAGGCGGGCAGCCTCAATGGCTGCAAATTGGTCCATTCTAAGGCTTTCTTTGAAGATCGAACGTTTGCAACAGGCTTAGGAACATGTCGGGGGTTGTTTGCCGTTTATTAGTGAAATGATCGCTGTTCTCTAGAAGGTGGTCTCATGCCAATTGCACCCTGCGGACAGATCGCCAGCCTGGCTACATTCGTGAAGCTCGACCGATCCATGTCCCTGCTGAAGCTCAGAGGCGACACCCCCAGCGTCATGTACTGGGCGCGAGACGTTCTGAAGGTGCGCGGCTTCCCGAGCATCTTCGCTTTGCCGAGGAAGGGAAGGCCCCAAGTGTGGAGGCATGAGGGCGGCAGAGACGCGGCGTCCATTGCGGAATTCTGGAGCTCTGCAGCCCAGAAGACCATACGTACTTCCTCATCCAGAAACTTGCTCAAGGATCAGAAGGGCGCCAAGAGGAGGCCATCTCAGACCGAGATGGCATGCACCAGGGGCACGCACTCGCAAGGAGTTGAAACATCAAGACCACTGACTGCTGTCAGGCAATCTTCCAACGTCGGTCCAATGGGGGTCACTCTATTTGGCGCACTGGTGGCACTTGCTATCGGAACAGCTCTAAGCGGAAAACGCCGAACCGCTGCTGAAACCGATGGGGAGGCCTACAATGCAAGCTTCTTGACAGTGGCCAGGGCTTCTGATTTCGGTGGACCGAGCCCCGCTGCCATTAGTGGTGTCCAAAGCCCGCCACGGGTTCACGATATGGAGGCGCAGAATCAGGACACGCCAGGGCCGGGTTGGACACTGGCAAAAAATGGGGAACATCATATTCCTATAGTGGAGACTTCACTGGCGCAGGGAGAACGATGATCCCAGCAAGGCGTTTCTCTTGGAGAGTGCGCAAACGCGCCACGCTGCAAGATATGAGGGCGTCGTCAGCGGTACTCTGCGCCATTACAAGGGCGGGAAGTGGGCCGGGCATGTCGCTGTCCATATTCGCTTAACTTATACCAGGCTGTGGATTCCATGCATGTTTCTTCAGCGAGCCAAACTCCCAGGTGGAGAATTGGCGAGTGTGCACTTGGGCACTGGAAGCCCACAATGGGAACCTCATCTCCCTTGTGCGCAAAGACAGCCATGTGCAGATCTGTGTGGTGCACTACGCGATGAGCGAGGCTCGTGTACAGGTAGTGGAAGTGGAGGGGAAGCTCACCCGGACGGACATGGGCGGTTCGACACAGTTGCCAAAATCCAGAAGGACAATTTCGCGCACGCCTCGTTCTGGCAGTGTCGCGCATTTCTCGCTATCTCTGCATGTGGAGCCGCTTGGCCTCTGCAATCTTTTCGGCAGATTGTGAAATGCTACGTTTATTGGTGAACCTGGAGTCCGCAGATAGCCAACAGCATTCTGCCATCCAAACACCATCTCATTCAATCACCAGCGCTGTGTGGGACCTGACAATTGTGCTGAAAGTTGAAAGCAAGCCAAGCAGACCTCCGTCATCCGCGAGGTGCAGTCGTTCCCCAAGTGGTTCTCACCACACCGCTGGAAGCCATGCAAGAGGCATTGCCTTGTGGCCCATGCAGCAAACGCCAACTGCGAACACCCCAACGGCCACAAGGCCACAGGTGGTGTCCCTGCGCTGTGCAGTCAACCAGGTAATGTGGCGTGCACGCAGAATCCGTTTGGGCACACTGCATATTGAAAATTCCGCCAAGAATATTGAAAATAAAAAAGCCAGAGCCCAAAATCGTCGCTTCGCATCAGACCGTCAAGCATGCAGTGGTTTCATGCCTTGCCCATCTGCGCTGCTACCTCTGCCGCAAAATCATCACTTCTCTTCTCCAAACCCTCTCCAAGCACGAAGCGCTCAAAGCGTTGAATCTCAACCTGCTCCCCAGTGGATTTGGAAGCATCGGCGACAACTTCTGCAACGGTCTTGCCCTGGTCCTTCACAAACGGCTGGTCCAGGAGGCACATGGCTTGGAGCGTCTTTGCCACACGCCCCTCTGCAATCTTTCCACGGATTTGCTCAGGTTTGCTCAATAAGTCCTCCTTTGCCATCTCCATCTCCTTCTCCTTCTCAGCTACAGCTGCAGGGATGTTGTCTTGGCTCACATAGCGCACATCTGGGCTTGCTGTGATCTGCAGGGCCATATCTAAAGCAAAGTCCTTGAGGACATCACCCTGCGCAGCTTCTTTGGACTCACAGCTGACCTGATATCACACAACACACGATAGATTAACTCTTCACATGAGCTCTCGACTCAATAAATTTGTTCACCTATCTGCGAGTGCCAAACAAATGTTGCCATCACAAGGCAAGGAAGTACCTCCCACAAAACGGAGGCGAGCAAACAAGAGCCATCGCCACTTTCACAGGTCTCTGTCCAGCAGCAGCCTAGACTGCAGTTTTTGGCGATGGCAGTGTGCTGCTGCCAGAGCCACTCCAATGTCTACAGAAACGGGAGTACATGACAGCTGCATCCACCTCCAACTGTGAATCAATGGTTAGTCCAAGTGGCTGCAGAAGACAATGATGATTTCTGCTGTACGCTGCCCACAAGCACGTCCACTGTGGGCAATGCACCGCAAGCAAGATGAATACACCCACAAAACCAGGGGCCACCTTTGTAGCTGCATACCTCGACCATGACTCCCTGCTTCCCAGCATGCACATAACTTCCAATAAGGCCCTGTGGATTCTGCAGCAGCCACACCACAAAACGGTCTGCATACTGATGTGCCCCACAGTTCAGACTATGCGACTGAGGGCAGGTGCCCACCAGGAACGTGCCTAAGAACGATGGGAATTGGAGACAGAACGTGGCAGAAGGGAAGGTACATTGAGACTTGCCACACAACAAAACAGTTCTTGTCGATGACAGGCTCAAGCTCAGTTGCAAAGTACCACGATCTGCAGCACCTCAGCAAGATGCAAAATTCACCAACCGCGGGCATGTGCTGCAGCAGGACCTATATGTTGCTTAATTCAAGTTGAGCGGATGTGGCTCACATGCACAGGGTTCATCCCTATCACGCACCTCCTCTGACCTCCCAGCTCCCACATTGTACCGCTCAAATCTCCGAACAGCAAGTTTTTCCCCGATGCCAGCTGACGTTTCGATGAGCAAGTCATTCACAGTCTTGCCATCTTCAGTGGTGCAGGGCTGAGACAGCAGTGCAAGAGACTCCTTGGATGCGCCAGAAGCCAAAAGAGCCTCTGGGACGTCATCGACAGAGACACATGCCACATCAGGGCAGTCGGCTATCTGCTTAGCAATCACAGCCACGAGGTCCTTGAACTGGTCGCCACGAGCCACAAAGTCTGTTTCACAGTTGATCTCTGCAAGCACGCCAGACATCCCATCGTCTGTGATGTATGAGTGCACGAGGCCTTCGGATGCAATGCGGCCAGCCCTCTTTGCTGCACTTGCAATACCCTTCTTCTGCAGATACTGGCCACAACACAATCCCCCCGGGCTTGTCAGGTCATGCCAGCCATGCCCTGGGCATGGGCAACTGGGCCACGTCGCAAGGTTAACATTGCTGCAAATTCCGTCAAGTTAATATGAGTACACTGAATGCAGACTAAATACTGTTAGGTTTACTGTTGTCAACGTCAGGCAGGCAATGCATGCTGCTATGGTCCGGCTGGGCAGGCACAACATGCATTGTCCCAAAAAGCAACAGATGGAAGCGTGAGACAACAGCACTTGGGAGGACCACGACACCCATTCCATGAATATTAGGTTAATGCATGTGACTGCAGCATGATCCAACACATGCTCAGAAAGATACCTCAACTGCTTCTTCCATCACTCCACCGCACTCTGTCAGTGCCTTCTTGCAATCCATCATTCCGGCCCCTGTCATATCCCTAAGTTGTTTCACAGCCTTTGCGCTGATGGTCACAGCTGACAACACAAACAGGGACATTCAGTGTTTGCTGGCCAAAAACATGCAAGCAGTCAATGCACCTGACCAAAAATACAGGAACATAAATGAAGCCCAATCCTTGCAAGCAACTGCAATACCACCTTCCTATTCACTGCAGCAATAGTTTTTGTCAGAAATTCAAACTCGCCATGGAACACAATACAAGGAACTCAGAATACACTACACTGGCTGATGAGCCCTCCAGTTCACAGCAAGTATTAATGTGTACAAGAGATCAAATGCAGGCATGCTGATATCAAATTTGCAAGTCCCTTGTGATGTCCAGCTGAGCAACATTGGCCGTTTCTGGCGTTGGCATGCTAGCATGCAGGCTCTGCTTGGGCGATCTCCTGTCACAAGTTGTGAGTTGATAACAACAGCAGTGCTCCTTCCACAGCACACTTTGTTCAATTCTGCTTCTGGCTGACTGTGCAATAGATTCAGTGCAACCAAGAACACGCCATGCACCTGGTGCACCATCCGATTCTTTCTCTGCTTCTGCTTTCGAACTGCTGCTCACAGCAGCCTCCTCAGTTGCACTTGAGCTGCTATCAGCAACAACTGGTACAGGAGATGCTGTTGGAGACACCACGGGAGGTTCTGCCGGTGCTTCTGCTGGAGTTTCCGCTGGAGCCTCAAGTTCTGCTTTTGGGTGCCCGCTGCCTGCTGGAGCAGGCTCTTCATAATCCTCATCATAGACAGCACGCTAGGCACCACAATGAAGTGTCAAGGTGGTTATGTTTTAGGAAGCACATAGCCAGCACACATCCTGCAAGTCATGCACGCGCAGCACAAGCACTCTATTGCGCTGTGCTTTGGAATGTGTATGCCATCCTTTCCTCCCACACAGGAGTTTACACATTGGTGGACTCCATCCAACAGCCTCAAGCAAGGGACTCAATCTTCCCTCCTGTAAACGCCTGGCATTGTGCAGGTAGACAGTGACAGCACTTTGGCCACAGGTGCTCACCTCAGGCAAATCAGGGAACATGTCACGTGTCACTCCGGCTTGTTTGATCAGAGTCCCAAGCATGAGCTCAACCTCCCCTTCTGGTTTGTACTCATACCCACTCTTGGACACTTTCTCCAGAAAGGCGATCTCCTCCGGAGTCCTCTCTGTCAACGTGAAATTCCCTTTGTTGTCAACGCTCCTAACGCGCAGGGTCATCTCTTTCCCTGCCTCCACATAGTCGTGTGCATCAGCGCGCTGGTCATCAGAACTTGTGAAGACGTCCCTCATTTCCTGCACGTGTAGAAGTGCTCGCTGGCCATCTTCCAAATCGATGAATGCCCCCCAATCAAGAACATTGTCCACCTTGCCCTTCACCTCCTGGCCCACCCGCATGGTGGGGCGTCGTTTTCTCTGGGCCCCACCCTGGTCTGAGCTCCGGCGTTCGGACCTTCCCCTTCCCTCAGGGGCGTCCTTGCGACGCTGCTGCCGCTGTCGCCCATCTGGAAGCCACACCACAATATTATGCAACAAATGGCTCCTACACAGAGGTGCTACCGATGTGCAGGCACATGCAGGGCAGCATGGCAAGACGCCCCCTGCCCCACAATAGAGTTGAGTTCAGTTTGTCAGCCACAATGACAGCCAATGAACAGTGGAGCTGGCTATGTGCAAGACAAAGTAGGGCATGGATGGCAAATGCGAAATGCATTGACACCTCAGCCCTTGGGCCGGGCCCTGTTGGTCTTAGGCAGGGTTCCATTTCATTGGCAAGGTTTGGTGGAGAACGAAAAGTTCACCACAGCAGGCCCCTTCTATTTGAGGCATCCACCATTCTGTTAAGTTCTCTTGGAGCCATACTCTACAATAAGACAAGCAGCAATACAGTATGCTGGCATGGTATCTGGGGATGGCCCACTGCTGGAGATGGTGGTGGTGTGTTTGTGGAAGGTGGGCATGCTCATGCATCATTCATGTGCACCTTGCATGGTCAATGGAACAGCCTCAGCCAGCTCAACTGGCCAGCAACAAAAGCAACGTGTTCCTGTGTTGGTTGTTAGCAAATGGCGAATTCACCTTTTGGGGGACTGCGTCCACTCTCTTGCTTCTTTTCATCTGGTAGCAATGCTTTCATGCTGCAGGAGACTCTTTTGGTGTCAACCTCAACGCCAAGAATTTTGACGTTTACAACTTGACCGACCTTCAGGACATCTTCAACTTTGGAAACAAAGCCTTTCTGAACACACGGCAACATACGAAAGGCCATGCTCACTCTCCATGGCGTCAGGTTCATTTCGCACAAAACACGATCAGCTCAAACACTTTCAGCACACAAGGGGCTCCTGTCTAAGCAGCAACAAGACGATCTGAAATAGTCTACCGCTCATCGCGGGATCAGCTGGCAGTCGGTCATCAACCACGTCACCCAAGTGAACGCAATTGAGTCTGCAAAGTTGCACCCTTACCGAAATCTCCGATATGTGCACAAGCCCATCGCACTCCGCACCAATGTCCACAAACGCACCGAAATTCATGATCTTCATCTGCAAGCATCAAAGCGACCGCTTCGTCACCGTCAGCAGCACCAAGCAAAGCAAACGCTGGCCATTCTCCCTTCCAGGTGCAATGACTGTGTCGTCCGTCTTCAGCAACACACAGCGGCAGGGGTGCGCATTTTGCGCGCCACCAACTCGCCACTAACTCACCACTTTCGACTCATATGTTCCCCCAACTTCTATGTCTTTCAGAGCAATCTTGGCCGCCTTCTGCGCCGCGGGTGCCGCAGATTCTTCCTCCTCTGGCTCGGCCGCCGCTTCCGCCGGCGCCTCATCGCTCGTCGCGCTTGCATCCTCCGCGACGGCGTGCAGGCGGCGCAGAACGACGCGCGTCCCGCGGCTGCATCGGCAGCGACCACAGGACACGCGGACAGACCCCCCCTGCTGCGGTGAACTGCACAGGCAGCGCACGCCCAACGCAAACCATCATCACCCCTCACAGGCTTGTGGCAATGCACGATTGGCCGCCGGCAGCACTGATCGGATCAAGCCATAGAGCGAGGTTGTTGGGAGGCTTACCTGCAGGGAGCCTGGCGCGCGCGCAGGGCGCTGCGAACGGGGTGCGCGACGACCCACGGGGCAGCCTGCGAACAACAGCGTGCGATATGATGCGGCCACCAGAAAGGCAGAAACGCGCTGATCGACACAAATCCGATGGAGGAAGAGCCGCGCACCTGCGCCGCGAGGTGCCCCGGCGCCGCCTGCAGCTTGTTGGCGAGATCCATGGCCGAAGCGTCCGCGCGCCGCCTGCCTGGGCAACCGTCCGCGCAGACGCCTGGGGGCTGCGGATGTATGGCAGGCCGCTGAATATGCGACGCCCGTCCGCGACTGGCCAGAGGCTGCCACGTCCTCGCCTGCAACGTCGTCAGCCACCCCACACGGGAGGATGAATTTCACGAGCAATTTTTCACCCCCATATCGTTACAGATTTCGCGTGACGACGCGTGTGATAAATGTGAGGACTGTGAGGTGTTCCGGATGTGGACCATTGTGACGGTGACAGCGACGGAGACGGTACGGAGATGGAGACCCAGTACATACGCACCCTGAACCCTAATGCCCCACCGCCCAATCCTGACCCGTCTGCGGCTCCTTCACCATCACCGTACCAGGCAACCCTGAACCCTAAAACCCCAAAATCGTCCAATCGTGGCCGGTCTCCACAACTGGCCCCGTCACCGTCACCGTCACCGTCACCGTCACCGTCACCGTCACCGTCACCGTCACCGTCACGGGTGCCGGCCATTTCGTCTAAAGACAACTCGTCTAACGGACAACTGGTCCAAGGACATTACGTCTAACGGACAACTCGTCTAAAATTTCGTTGACTCGAGTTGACTCACTCATATCCACATCGCAGAAGCAGCCGGTGCCCCGGGGGCCTTCACCCGTTCAGCGCATTCCCCTAAACCCCAAAACAACTCGCTCACATCCGCATTCCAGCTGAAGCTGGTGACCCGAGGGCCATCACCCGTTCAACGCATTCCCCTAACCCCAGAAACCAACTCATTCACATCCCCATTCCAGCTGAAGCCGGTGACCTGAGGGCCCTCACCCGTTCAGCGCATTCCCCTAAACCCAAAAACAACTCACTCACATACGCATTCTTGCTGAAGCCGGTGACCTGAGGGCCCTCACCCGTTCAGTGCATTCCCCTAAACCCAAAAACAACTCACATGCGTGTAACTTTAGTAACTTGTGTCCTCCACCACCCGGTTCCTTGTGTGGAGGTGCCCGTGAGCGTGGAGCTTCAACGCCCTTTGTCCACGAATCAATTCCCATTGTGGACTGGGGTCGCGTTGGCCTGCCTCTCCCGTCGATCCACCTTCTTGCCTTGGCGGATCTGCTGGCTCCCTCGCTGCCAATCGGCGCTGCCATTGGGTTGCCTCCCCCATCGATCCACCTTCGGCGCTTGCAGAATCTCCGTGCTCCATGTCTGCCGGTCGCCTCTCCCTTTCGCCACCCTCCCCCGTCGATCTATTTTCGGCCCTTGGAGGATCCGCCGGCTCCATCGCCACCGATCGGAGCAGATGTTCGGCTACCTCCCCCGTCGATCCACCTCCACGCCCAGTAGAATCTCCGCTTTCCATAGCTGCCAATCGACGCCGCACACTGCGCAAACCGTGGCACACCCGCCAGCCACGCGCCTGGATGGGCGCTCACCCTCCCGTGCTGTCCCGCCCCCTGTGCGCGCGTCAGGAACGCGCCCAGGAACCAGTTCGGAATGCAGCCCGCCACTAACGGTATGAAATGTAATTGTAGCTTAAATGCAGTTAATGGGCGCTGTTTAGACGAGTTGAGTCAACTCGTCTAAAGACAACCCGTCTAACACAAAGACGGAGTCAATGTTGCTATTGACTTCACCGTAGGGCATTTGAACACACGCGACGGCTTTGAAAACGAGTGGTATTCATAACAGGGAGGTTTGTGTCACAGGTACACAACCAACCCATGGCCGCGTTGAGGGTGGATAACTCGTTAGACGAGTTGTCCTTAGACCAAATGTCCTTAGACCAGTTGTCCGTTAGACGAGTTGTCTTTAGACGAATTGGCCGGACACCCACCGTCACCGTCACCGTCACAGCGCTCATCGCCCCTTTCAAGAACACTGCAAGGGCTCTTGTGGGCGTGGTGCGAGCACGTCTGGTACTTTACGCCCATTGCCGCCTCGCACTGCCACAAATCGTTCCGTTCCATGTCCCGCCGCGTCAAGCCGGGCATCCTCCTTTCTTGCCGCGCGCTTCGCTCTCCACTCTCCGGGCTCTGCGACACCGACTCGCCAGCGAGTCGCGAGCGCCCTTCACCGTCAGACGCAGTGAGTGTGGCAGCACCAGCCGCCGCCGCCGCCGTTCCGGTATATCATCGCCATGCTCGCTCGACGTCCCAGCGCGCACTCCGCCGTTGGAGTCCCACGCCTGCGCTCGCTGCTCTCTCGCACGAACGCCAACTTGCGATAATCGGATTGCGACCGACCCCCGTGTGTCTCGTGCGCAGGCTCCAGCGATGGGACCCGATCCCCAGCCCACCCCGGAGTCTCCGGCGTCCGCCGCGCGCTGGTGCCGCCTGCCCCGCGACATCATCGAGGCCCTGCTCCCGCGCCTGAGGAACCCGGAGCTACGGGCGCTGTGCGGCGCCAACCAGCACTGGAACGCGTGCCTCAAGGGCGCGGTCACATGCCTGCGGCCGTCCCACTTCAAGATCTCCGGCATCCCGCCGTCCTTCACCAGCCTGATGTCGATCGACCTGGGGGCATGCTGGGCCGACGTGGACGACGCCCTGCTGACATCGATCTCCGGCACTCTCGCCCAGCGGCCGGGTGGCATCAGGCGCCTGAGCTTGTCCAAGTGCCACGCGCTCACGAACGCTGCCGTGGCCACCCTCTGCGCCAGCCTGCCCGCGCTGGAGTCCCTCAACCTCAGCGGCTGCCGTCGCCCTACCCGGTGCCCGTGCGCACGCGGGTGGGCTACTCCGGCGTGGACGGTGACACGGTGGGCAACCTTACGTTGCTGCGCGATCTGGACCTGAGCTGGAACCCCGTCAGCGACCAGTCGCTGCGCAGGGTGGTCGCCCTGACCGGTCTGACCCGCCTAGTGCTGGCGGAGTGCCCGGCGATCTCTGATCAAGGCGTGGAGTGCCTCCGGTGCCTTTCCAAGCTGCGGTCGCTGAGCCTATCGGGGACGATGGTCTCGGACGAGGGCCTAGCGGCAATCGCGGAGAGCCTGGGGAACTTGAGGTCGCTCAGCTTGAGGAGCTGCAGGCTGGTGTGGGACAATGGGCTGAGGGCGCTGACGGCGATCGGGGGCCTGCAGGAGGTGGATTTGAGCCATTGTAACGGCGTGACGGATGCAGGGGTGGCCGCGCTCGGGGAGGGGTTGCCGCGGTTGACGTCCCTGGACCTGTCGTGCACGTACATTCATGGCGGGAGCCTTGGGTCGTTCCGGCGGCGGCCCAGCGCGCTCAGGGCGCTGAGGCTGCGCGAGTGCTGCTGGGTGAAGGAGTGGGTGCTGCGCCTGGTGGCGACGATCGAGTCGCTGGAGAGCCTGGACGTGATGAACTGCGATGGGGTGACGGACAGGGGCCTGGGGCACGTCGCGAGGCTGCCCCTGACGTCCCTCAACTTGTCGTACTGCTCCAATATTTTCGACAGCGGGGTGGCGCGCCTGGCGGCCGCGCCTTCCCTGTCCTCCCTGGACCTCAGTTTCTGCGCGAACATCACGGACGAGGGCGTTGGCAGGCTTGTGGCCAACACCAGGCTGGAGCGCCTGGTCCTGAACTGCTGTGGGAGAGTGTCTGACGACGGCATCCACGCACTGTCGCCCATCGCCCACAGCTTGAGGCAGTTGGAGATCTCAAGCTGCCACGGGCTCACGTCCCAGTGCATCAGCTTCATAGCGCAGACCTTCACAAACCTGAGGGGGCTCAAGCTCGACTGGCTGGGTGTCACGGACACGCACCTGCTGGCCTTGGAGGGTATATCATCCAGCCTTTGCCACCTGAGCATCAAGGGGTGCAACAACTTGACCAGTGCTGCATGCGACAAGCTGTGGTACTTGGAAGGTATAAATGACGATCGACAGACTCCCCAGAGACGAATGAAGTGAGCACTAAATGAAGTGCTGAGCACATGTGCAGCGGGTGTTGCTTCCAGTGGGTGGATGCATGGGGAGCAAAGTCACAAACACAGCACAGGTGGTTCGGGGCGCCACATGTGTGGCATCTAGCTTGCAGTACCAGAGGGCGTGGGACCTGAAGGGGCCACCAGATGGAGGGACAGGAGGTGTACCAGGTACCTACATAGCAGAGGGCTCGCATAAGTGGTAGGTGCAGAGGTTTTAGGCTTCAGTGCTTCTGTTCTGCTGCATTCAGGTGCCAAGAGCTGCCATTTTGGATGCTGATGGCATCCAGTTGAAGTGCAGTCAGCAACAGGAAGATTGTGAGTGTGGCATGGGTGTGGTCAGCAGCATAGACATCAACTTCCTGAACCCTTCAGTGAATGCCAACGTGTAAATTACCCAGGTTGGGCTGAGAGGCATCTGGTACACGTGGCAGAGCGATGCTGAGCACAGCTGGGCAGTGGGCTCCTTCCTGGTTTGAATGTTGGCTTCGTGCTTTCATGTGAAATCGAGACGTAAGGTGAGGGCTAAGGGGTGCACAGCTCACCAACGAAGAATCCGATGGCAGCGTCGCAATGATGCTGGCGATACTGAGAGGTTACGACTATGGCCCCCCTTGGCCATGACAATGGGTCGTGGCGCTTTTGTTCTCAGCCGTTCATTCTCCCAAGTGCTTGTTTTGTGATGCAACTGCCAGTTCTCGTGAGGATGCACGTCCAAAAACACGTCAACCTCAGTATTTCACAGGTAAATCCGCTTGTAACCCTGAGGTGTCCATGATGTTGCTGCCAGCCAGGTTTCGAATGCTCTCGCAATAGGAACGTTTTCCGAATTGTATCGCAATAGGAACGTTTTTTCCGGTCGTCCTCCCTGGACTGCCGACTCCCCGTGTTCTGTACAGCACACAATGCATCACGGTGGCAAGGATATGGAATTCCTAGGAGTGGGAATTGTGGGAACGCTGGCCAAGCAATTTCCCGCTTGCACATACTTCAATTTGATATGCAGCTGAAGACACGGCTGCATCTCCGTGAGAATTCGACAACTGTGCTACATGAACACGCTGAGCCACAATTCTCATGTCGATCCTCCCTCAGCATATTGCGGGCATTCATACCATCTTCGCATATACTCGTCCGATGCTCCCACCACAAACCACATGCCGTCCACAGCCCAGAGCGGCTGTCTGTGCCAGACACACCCCCGGGCTCGCTGATGAGACCCACCATTAAATCAAGACTATCTCAAATCAAAGACCCTTGGTCGACAAGAGCCACCACCTTCAATAACGCTATCCCTACACTTGCACACATGCCCATTCATAAGCCGAGGAATTTGCCACTACCTCTCCACCCTCCGTTCTACACCACGGCCATCCATCATACAACCTAATTCCACAATGTTGAGCGCCCATCTCTCCGGCATAGGCGTGGGCGGCAAAGTGCTCGTTCCCCCTCCCCCCAAAGCCCTGCTTAGCACTGTGGGCAATAACACAAGCCATTGGCTCATCGGTTCAATGCAAAATCTCCTGTCCTGAGAACTTCTTAGTGAGAAGTGCGTCTCCTCGCTATTTTCTTCTCATGAAAAATTTAGTCCTTCGGAAGTATCATTTCCCCCCGCAGACCATACTCCCTGATCCTACACATCTCTGAATGACTGGCCACAGCCTGACTCCTCACGCTCATTGCCCTGGGCTGGAGTGCAGACTGTCGCCACCTTTGCCAGAATCTGCCTTTCATTCTTGCCAGGTGGGTGGCTGAAACTGTACAAGTCACCCTCCTCGCTTTGCTGCCAGGAGAGGTCATCAAATGGGTTGGTTTCTTTCATTTCTTCCATACCCTCAAGCTGAATGCCTGCGTCTTTCAGCCTCTCCATCTCCAGGTCACGCATCACAAGCTCTGGTATGCTCTGCCAACACAGCACTAGGTTTGCGTCAATGCATTCACAGCACAAGGATCGCACAAAATCGGCAGGATGCTGCCAACCAAATTGGCAAATATGTCGCACATGGCACCCTTGAAGCTAATCAGAGGATGGCCACAGCCCAGAGCACACTCCCACAACAGCCCCACTGAAGTATGTCAACACTGGCCCTTCGAAAGCCGCAAATTCAAGGCACACTCTGCAATCAAACGGCACAGCGGGCAGTTTACAATAGCCTCATGCACCCTTGGCGCCACTCAAACAACCCCACCCAGCAACAAGTGCCTCGCTTGCTGATAACGAGGTTGCCATCGGCCTGGGCTTGGCAATCGCACTTCAGGAACATTGTCGACAACAGGTGGTAGATGGCCCGCACATTATCAGAGTTGAGAAGCACAATGGCAGTGGTTGATACTGCCAATACCATGGATGTTTGACTGATCGTGCCAATGTGACAGGTTCCTCTATCGCAACAGCACCGTGCTACGATGTGTTGCTCCTTCTCAGCAACCACAGGACAGACTCACAACATCAATACCATGGATGTTTGACTGATCGCGCTACTGGTTCCTCTATTGCAACAGCACCGTGCTACGATGTGTTGCTCCTTCTCAGCAACCACAGGACAGACTGACAACATCAATTGCTCTACAGAGCCACACAATCGATTCAACCGGCTAAATACTCATTGAACAAATTGGCGCCCTCCGTCGCTGCTACATCGCCAGCCCAATCATTCCACAGGCCAGCACCCTCCAATCAAGTAACAAACCACAAAGATTAGCAACGGCATCACCATCACAACACACTGGACAAGGACTCGCACCCGCTTCTTCTTGTACCCTGCACTTCGCCTCTTGCTTGCCGTCCCTTTCCCTCCTTTCTTACGGGATTTGCCACCAGCCGATGCAGAACAGGAGCTGGTGCTCAATGCAGAGCCAGGCCGCATCTCATGAGCACTCCTTCGACCAGTGACATCCTCTCCAGCGCAGTACCCTTGGTAAAGTTGACAGCGTGCAGCAAGGTACCTGCACACAAAAAGCCAAACCAATCGTCTCTGGATCAAGGCAAACTCATGCAAAATGCCCTTGTCAACCTCTGCCTATGTACCAGTGGTTTGGAAGATACAAAGTGGTCAATTTCAAACAGCAACAGTGCAAGGGGATGCACAAGAGTCCCTGACACATGTCCAAAGGACTCAAAGGAAGTGACCTCCAGGGCACTACTATGGGCGAGTTCCCTGGCCACCAAGATATTTCATTATGGCTCGACTTGAATGCACCCCTTGCAACAAGCACGGCTGACAGGTCCCAGGTCCATAGCTCACATACCCACAAAGAACATACACTGAACTCCTTGGCCTACTTTCCCTATTCAAGCCGAGAGAGGGATTCGCATATTGTTTGCACTGGCAGGACAATGCAAGCGCCTCTCAATCACTGCATTCAGCAAACATAACCTTTGGCTTTTGTTTGCAGGAAATCCCGTGCATGGATATCACTGGCCAAGCGGCATCTAGCATTCATTGTTGCCATGCACGCTAGGAACATCTTTATCGGTGGGTGCTATTGTCCCAGCGGTGCTATTCAGCTATTCGAATAGCACTGCATGTCAAAAAACCATCATTAACAGTTGGGGAGCAATGGCACTCCAATAGCACCGCAGATGCTATTTGGCACCAAGCGGTGCTATTCTGGTCCCGAATAGCATCGCTCGAGGCCAAACAGCACCCCGGAATAGCACCCGGTGCTACTCGCGCAGCACATTGTAGTGCTGCCTTGTTGCTATTAAGCGCAGGAATGGCACACACCATTGCGGATGCGCGCAGGGGAGCAATAGCACCGGTGCTATTCAGCAAATGCCCCCTCAGTAAAGTGGCACAGCAGCCAATGAGCACCATTCCTGGATAGCTCGCCGATGCAATAGCACAAACCGATAAAGATGCTCTAAATGGTGTTGTTCCTTGAGGACGAATCCCTCCTGCTCAATTTCTGGTCACATGCTGTGAAGCAGTTCAATCCGCAAATGTGTCGATAATGGTACCACTTTTTGACTCACCTGATACATTGCTCTAGTTGAAATTTATCCTTTTGCAGCACAGCGCACTCATTCAGGAGCACTTCCATTTCCTGTTCTTGCTGGATGCGGTACAGGTCATCCTCATTGGCAGCATCAGGTGCAGCGTCTACACAATCTTTTTGCTGGACAGCCCTGGGCAGCACCGACTGGACCTCGGCTCACTGTGCTTGAGTAATGAACAATGAATAATGATGCAGAGCGCCACAGCAGATATGCTAACCTCCACATTGCACATTCACAAGTAGCTTGGGGTGCGTAGGGTCAGTTCCACTTGGTGGTCCACTGCACATGCTTTTGGAAGAGATTCACCACTGGCGAATATGCAATCTTTCTTTTCAGTCCATTCAGTGGAGGCACTTCATAAGATGCACATCCTCATGCCAACAACACACGACTGTAGACTGGGTCCACAGCCCCTTTGTTCCTAAACATGTGTACATCCTATGACAAGCACTCACTTTGCTTACAACAACACCGGCATAGTGAAAGAAACATGATGGCCAATGTATCAGCCACCGTGCTGTGATTTCATGAAAGTTTGAACAGACACTCAGAATCGTAGACAAATACCTCGTCTGTCCTGTCGCTCCCTTACAGGCCAGAACCCCTGTAGACAGTGAATCCACATCTGCTGGCCCAAGGGGTCCAGAGAGCGACTCAGTGCACTGTCTGGTGCAGGATTGATCCAGACTATCAGATAGAGCAACAGCATCTGCAAGAAGAGACTCGACAGCCAGTACCTGGGGCAACAGGAGATTGATTCATTCCCAATGCCATCCCTTACCCAGTGCATGGTCTTTGCACAACCTTTGTGGACAAGGGCATTCGAGTGCCATGTTACAAAAACTGCCTCTAGCAATCCTTATGGCAAGGAAATGGGACGAGGACAACTCCAACAGATGCATGGCCACAGGCACATCACAAGGACTCCAGTGTCGAACATGTCGTTTGGTCTCGTGTAGAACATGTCGTTTGGGAGACTCAACCGTTGCTCAAATCACTCCATGCCATAAATATTCAACAAGCATGCCACTTATAGAACTCATGATGTCCACAGTATCTACAGGGTCAAGCATTGGCTCAAATTTTGTGCACACCAACAAAGCGATGCACAAAAACGAAAATGAAAACGACGCGCCGTCCTACGAGCCAGCTTGGCTGGTACCGCTGATCATGGAGGATAGGCCCCCCTACCCCCGCGTTCAGCATCAGGGCTGGCGTCAAGAACGCGGGAAGCACTGTCTTGTGTACCCCCGCGTCATTTTGCATGCACCCCGCGTTCTGCATCAAGTCGACGAATCCCCCGGCGTAAACCCCCGGGCGCTGCCACACTGACCACCAGACCAATTTGGCACATTGAATACCGGTCTAAATGAAGGGGCCAATCACAGTAAAAGTGGGAGGAGTTCCCCATAACTGTTTTACGATTTCCCGCATTTTGCATCGCTGCACATTCTGGCAATGAACCAGGGTGTCCTATCATGGGAGCTGCATACACCCCGCGCTATCTAATATAAACCCTGCGCTGTGCAACGGTAGCCATGTTCAACAACGTGGGGGCCGTTATCTAAGGGCCCCCGCACTACTCAACAACCTCTGCGCTATCCTCCGTGACCTATGGTACGTGAATCAAATCGGCGATCAAATGGGGCTCTGTCACCCAGTCACAATCAACAAGAGGACTAATCATCATGAGCACCCAGACTGCATACTGGGGGATGTGCCAGCAATAACGTTGTGGTCATCTGCTGCACCTCGATTAGATTGCAAATGAACAGAATAGGCCAGACAGTGCTATCTGTGTCCTAAAACAAAAGTAAACACCAAGAATCGCTATGTTGTACTGTATCGGAGTAGGTATGTTCAATCGCCACATTCGGCAAGACCCAGCGCAGAAGACCCAAAGCTATGTGAAAACGAAGTAAACTGCCACTGCCTTTCTGCTTAATTCCTTGGTTGAAGCCTGTCTTCACGACAGAAAGCAGGTCCCTTGCACCTCGCAGGCAATCACATGTCTGTGCAGGTGAATACCGTCTCCTGGCTAGCCCTTTTCTGTGTCTCCCAAACTGCATGTAACAGGGGGGCACCAGCAAAATGTCGATGCTTACATAAAAGTACCACGGTAGTACCAAATATTCAGAAGTTGGACTTTGCATCCGATTTTTGAACAGCACTCTCTACACTTGCAACTACAGGTGCACATAACTGTTCATCCACAACTTATTTTATTTTGACGCAAAGTGAATGGTGTGGAAACAAGAAGAACATTTCTTCTGGGACAAAGGAGCACAACACCTTGGCCCTCTTGTCCCCCATACTGCGCTACAACAGCAGCAGCCGTCCACCTGGGGCAGGCATTTATGCAATTGGACAGCAGTGACATAGGCTCTCACCTCAGTTGAACCCATCCGTTCCGCCAAAGAAGACACGATGGCAAATGAGGTCTTGACAATATTCCTGATCCGTACTGCCTTGACGTCGGCATCAGCAGTTTTCTGATCCAGTTCCTGGCTACCCTGCAACAGAGATTCACCCACAAACTTCAACTGTATACACATGGCAGTGAGCTGCTAGTGTGGATGCATCAGGGGAATGAGATTGCCACTCAAACATTATGGCAAACTTCCTGCCACATTCCCTAAAAAACACTCCTCATAGCAAGTCTCGACACCTGGCACAATCCCCAAAACTGCTGTGCACCAGCATTTGCCATCGTTTATGGCTACTCACCCAGCCCAATTTCACCATTTAGTCCACATAACAGCACGCGGTGATCTTCTTTTATGGTCACAGGGGAAGCCTCTCACACTAAGGTTGGCCTCCATTTGTGTGACAGGCTGATCCATCACGACTCGCTGTCAGAGCTATGCGGGATGTGGATCGCCTTTCAACAAACAGTGAACATCCACAAAGCTGGGCTACACTCCCACCTCTCGATCACTCGGTTCCACCAACATCATGTCCTCCTCTGCTACCTCTATCCTAGTGGATGCTTCTGATGCATAGGCAGCTGGGCTGGAATCTTCCGATCTGCAATTATTCTCCGTTGGAGCAATCAGCACACTTCCCTCAGCTTCAACCAGCTGCCCTTCACAATCTTCTTGGATTTTTTGTGCGCGGGACAACCAGTCCTTAAGTTGTCCTATAACATCATCCTGCGCAAACCCACAAAGTTATTGCATGGCTGCCTTTCCCAAAGTGCAAAATAAACTGGCCCTGCATCAGTGCATACTCTAAACCTCTGCACATAATCAGCTACAGGGTGGCTGGCACAACATATGGCAGCATGCCAACAAAATCTGCCAGGCAAGCAATCACAAGAGACTGCAAAGATTCAAGGGCACAAAAACCAACACAAGCGAACAGCAAGCCTGGCACACAAGTCAACCTGCTGGAATGGGTTACTAGCCACTAATGTGAACATCTGTGGACACAATGGCAGCAATCATGTTTGTCTGCTGTCCCCCAAACAGCAGTGTGCTCAATTCACCAGGCAGTGGACCATTACCCTTGAACTCAAAGTGGCCTTTAGCTGTACGATTTCATCGTTGGCAGCCTCCAATGCTGCTTTCTGTCTCAGCATTTCCTTCTCCAGCTCCTCAACCCTCTTTCTCTCCAACCGGGCGGCCTCTTCCAGCGCCTGGGAACTGCCAGTGTGCTCCTTGATCTGTGGCAGCCTCACCTGCGGCCCTGGCAAGTTTGAAGACTGCAGCGAGTCGCTGTTCAACGCCACACGCCGTGCTTCGGCATCTGCGACGCGGCAGCATAGAGAGTCTGCCAATCGGGCAAGACAAAATCAGCAACGGTAGGGCACTAGTGTCAACCGCACACATGGTGATTGCTACCAGGCAGCAGCACTTTGCAACTAGGCTTTGTCCCATTATTTTGAGCATTTCGTTGGAAGCTCTGCAAGGGAGCGATACGTACCGACTGAGCTCTGCAGCCCGCTTGCCCTCCATCCCAGTTGGGTACCCACGGCTGCAATGTGTCTCGGAGGTATCTGCAGCACAAGCAAACTAGCCCTAGTCACTCTGGGGCTGTGTCCAAGGTGGCCTGCAGCGCAGCACCCACTTCCCTCTCCAGAGAAGATCATCGATAGCCACACCCAGGAACATGACCACCAATGGAAATGCTCCCATTGAACTGTGCACCTGAATGACAACAATGCTGTCTCTCCCAAACCTAGCAGTTGTCTGCACCTAAGTGCTGCACTTAATCTCAAGTCGTAGGCAAAAGCACAGAAGCAATAGCTGCACGAACTTCTTGGGTCCTCAAGTGTCAGAGAAATGCACGGCCTGGACAATGCTGCCATCCTCCATTCTGTTCCATGCTGTCTTGTGATACTTGCAATGCCTGTACACTGCCCATTCATATCAAAACTCCCATCTCCAGTGTCAACATTGATGTGGGGTGTTCAATCATCCATGCCTTTGCTCAGAGCCACCAAGAAAACCACACAGAAGAGTAGATGAAAGCAGGACAAGCAACTCGCATGGTGCACAAACACGTTCACTGATTAACAGCATGCTGCTGTCAGGTGCAATTCCAGACACCTTGCTTCCTTGACTCTTTGGCTCGTCTTGCACTGCCTTCCTTTCTTGGCGAGTCTTGTTGAGCTGCCGTACTCCAGAGTGGGGCTTCTTTTCAGCTATTGTATTCTTGTCGTGTGGGGGATTTGAAGTTTCATGGCTTGCACCCTGCCAGGGCAAGTGGCATCCGTGGTCAACAAAAGTAATGTGTGGTTCATTGGTGTGCACTCATATCGTCAAGCTGGTGCCCACTAGTTGGTCACACAGAGCAGAACAGACTGGCATGCGCTCCCATGCAGCGCATGGGGTGCGCAGCACCCTGCTCAACATCTTGTGTACTCAGGACCTAGTACTGTAGACCTGTGGGTACAACCAATATTGACATGCTGGTGTCAGACAACAGCAAGCCGTCATAAGCAGAGGACCAATGCGCTGCTATCATGCAATGCCAAGAGCAGCCACACATACACCAGAAAGGGTGGAAAAATTCTAGATTCATAGCACTTCCACAGATCACAACTTGAGAATCACCACCAACGGCCAGTGGAGCTGGAGTATGAATCCATGCACCAGTCTGGTAGCTGTTGCGGTGATTCTCTTTGGAGAAGCCAGCTGCAGCTTCCAGGATGGCAATCCTGAAGGTCCACTGGCCCAACACCAGGAAATGTGTGCATGTCGTCCACTGACTGCAGTTCATTGGGCAGCAGGATCCCAGTGAAGGCTCAGCACACAGGACAAGAGAAGCGCAATCCTGAGGGTGAAACAGAATCCACTTGCCCATTCAGTAGTTAACATACCCTGGGAGTTGTCCTGGGGGTCAGCCCCAAAAACGAAGAATCGTGAGAACATGCACGCTTGTGCCTGGCGCTGAATGGTCCAGCTGTCCCTTTTGCGGCTGGTGGAGCAAACACAAAACGGCTTCAGTCGCCTCCATGACTGCCTGGGCTAGCAGAGAATGGCGCAGCATGAGGTTCTTGCCCATGCAAAAACAGACAGCTCACGCAGGAGCTTGTGTACCTCTTTCAAGGCCTGCATTCACTGTCCTGTGGCACTCTGTGCAGGCACTGCCAGGCTCAAAGCCACAACAAGAGGCCCTCATCAAACTCGACTGGAACCCAAACTACCAGGCCACACACTAAATGAAAGTACAGGGGAACGCCCAACATCAACACACAGCCCTGTCCAGAAGTGGTGATGTGTTGAGATTGCGCAACCAACAGCCCTGCGTGCCATGTGCACCCACAAGCTCCAGAGTCTACCACATTGGGCATGGTTGCACTGGCACTGCATTCTGCCGATCAAATTTCACTGGTATCAGTTGCGGCCACATCAGGAGACACACATTGGCTGGGCCCAGGGCTCTGAACTGACCCGCCTTTGCCTTCTCTCAACAATCGGCCGCCTGCCCATTTCCGATGTTCGATCTTGGCACACTTCCCCACCCACAACAACGGTCTCCACAAGGGGAAATGACCTCCGCTAACGGCCACCGAAATGATCGTGCAGGGTTTTCCTTACGCGCCTCGGCGCCTCGTCGTGCTACTGTCACCCGTCTGTCACACTCCGCGACGGATGGCACGTGCCCCTCTTGACGCCTCCAATGCGCCTCCATGCATCAATTGCGTCCAAGGAGCAAATGCACCCAGGGCAGCACAGCCTTGCTGCCTTCCTACTTTCACACGGCGCCTTGGGAACCAGGAGGGGCATGGCTGCGTGGCAGCTGCCCAAGTCCCCTCAACGGGCTGCGTTGACCAAGAAAGCGTCGCTGGAGACGCGCCAGACCCAGCGCTAAGAGGCCAAAGCGCGCAAACGGCCAATCCAAAGGACAAGGATCCGCGACGTTTGAGCCGGGCGTCAAGAGTTTTTGCGGCTCAACGATCGCGCGCGATCCAATGTCAATCCCTCCGCATGGGACGCGGCCCTGGGCCCGCGATTCGACCCAACCTGAGCCCTAGGCTGCAGCGCGACTGCCGCCGTTGGCCCTCCACCAACAACAGCACGCCTAGGGTAGATTACCACCAGCCTCAGGAGGCCATCGCCGTCGCCGTGAGAAGTTGCGCCGCTGAGGAGGCCGCGACCACTTCGGAGGGCGTGGGCAAACTCACCAACAGTCTGGCACCCTCCACTGGAGCGCCTGGCGCTCGGCAACCCGCTCTTTTTGAGCTCAGGGAGCGCAAGCGAACGCCCGTCCTTGGTCCTCGGGGTGTACGCGCCAGGGCCTGCGCCCGTCCCAACACAGCGTCAAAACCCGGACCACATCCGCGAGACTCGCTCGGCACAGGCACGCCACCGTTTGTCTTTAGCGATCGCCCCACGCCCCCGCCGCGCACCTGGCGTGGATGACACGCTCCCCTGGAACCGCTCCCCGACCCCAAAGCTGGCCATCTCGACCCCTCTCCAGCCACAAACTCTCCACGGATCCTCCTCTCTATCCCTTCCTGCCTCCCCCTTCCTTCCCTCCTCCTCTCTGCGAGCGTGCCGCCGAGCTGCGCCCTCCCTTCAGCCGCAACCTCCCGCTTTCAGCGCGGTAGCGGCACCCCTGCGCGATCCTTGGGGCTGGATGCGATCGGCCCTTGGGGCCACCGCTGGGCCTGGGCGGGGCTTGGCGACCTCAGGGTGCAGCGCCCAGCGGCTGGCTTCCGCATCCCACGCCCACTCCCCCGGGGCGAGCGAAGGGGACCGGGCACCGTCCCGCACCGGGGAGCTGGGCCCTCGCTCCGGGCTGAACCCACGGCCCTGTGTGCGGGCGTATCCCCGTCAGTGCCCCTTTGCAGATGACCCGGGGATGGCACGCGGTGCCGCGTGACTGATGCGGGAACCTACATAAGCCCTCAGCCAAGTGGCCCGCAATGGCCCCGCAATGGCTCACAAGGAGGTGGATGCGGCTGGATGTTCGTGGATGTTCCCTAACGCCCGGCTAGTCTCGTTCGCAATATTGCAACATTGATGTTGCTTGCTGTCTAATGGCGCCATTAATGACCTAGTAATGACCGGCGTTCGGCTGGGTGATTGCCAGTGCTTGTGGCCAGCCAGTGGCCTCTCGTGTGTCAGAGGGGTGTGGGGACTGCCAGTGGTGGCGTACTCGTGCCACCCCTTCCAGTGGGCTTTGTTAACTTGGTGCAATTCCTTGTTCTTCAAATTGGCACCAGTGCTGCAGATTTGAAGAACAAGGAAAATACGCAAAATAAGAGTGAGTTGTCCTACACTCGGAATCGCTATGTGACACTAGTTGGAGGGGCATGGGAAAAAGGGCCACTGTGAATTCATGAAGTGATCTCAACAATTGAATGGTTGTGAGACCTTGGTACAGGTTGATTCCGCCAGGATGATCAGTGTACAATTGAATTGTGGGAGAAATCCTGCGCCATGACCTGTGATGGCCGCGTCCATACCTGTTCCATCTCCAAATATTCCTTTACCATATCATTGCGAGCCAAAGCACCCCGGAACAATGCCAACCCAATGCCATCTGTACAGAAATTGTGGCAGCATTCTGTACACCATTCAGGGTTCATCTTGGCCGAAATCACGTCACCAATTGTGTATGGAAGAATTAGTCATTGATTCTTTCTCCAGCCGCTTATTAGGAAACGACTTTCGTCCTCTTTTGCACAACCTGCAGCCCACTTGTTATTTAGTGAGGGCAAGTGGAAGGGATTTGCCCTATCACTCTTCTGGCCAGTTACAGCCTGGGATGCAATGTCGATCGTGTTCAAAGTCCTGCTCTATCCACAGCACTTGGCGGTGTTGACTGCACTTGGGAAGTCCACGTCACGGGCAACACACACAGTGCATGTGACAGCAGGTCTGCAAGTGTGTGACACTTGAGTCTGTCTGGAGCTCACGTCCCCAGCATGATCACGTACTGTATTGGAAGAGGAAGCCCATGTTCCAGCATACACTTGATGCAGTGAAACTGTGGGCCAGTTGATTGAAGGAGGCACCAGAAAGCCCCCTATTCCACTGCCATATCCCATTTTGTTTGTGTGTCTCGACCCATGGAACAGACCTGCATGGGCTGCAGCTCTGATCCACCACTGCAGGAGCAGGGTTGAATGCATAATAGGTGGTGCTGGGGTGGGTTGAGACATGCGCAAGCGCCTCGCCACCACAGTGGCCATTTAAAATTGCAGCAGCTGGGCAACTGCAAACATGAACTAATGCACAATCCAGTGCCATCGTCGCCCGACTTTGCAACCATCATCACCAACATCCTTCTGTCGTATCTTTGGTACGGCCCAGTTGTGGACACTGGGTGCCCTGCATTTGGGTTCTGTACCACAACTTCGCTCATGGCAGCCTTGCCCGTCAGCTTGAAATCTCAAACATGGCAATCAGACAGCTCAATAACAGTGAAGAGCAGGTATCCTTGCGCTTGGTAAAGGCAGGAAACCATTGCAGGGTTTGAAACCCCATTGTACGAGTTGCGAGAAACAGTGTGTGCTTGTTGCACACAGAAATGCCCATTTTCAATTTACACGCACACCAATCAGTCCCTACAATAAAACCACCTACAGCTTGGATAACCCCTGCTCATCAATAAGGTGCAAGGGTAGTGCCCCGTCCCTCCTTGGCAAATGCCAACATTTTCCCACCATGCATGCTTGCTTGGGAAGGGGGGGCCTTTTGCACGCCCTGTTTTCCTCACGGAGTGTAACAAATCTTATTGTCCCCGACGGCTCAGGCCATCTGCCGCCCGCCCCCTGGCGCCCCGGCCCGCGCTCCCCGCCCCCTGCCCCCGCGCCCCGCCCGTCCTCTCCCCATCCTCCCTCAGGCTGTTCAACGACCCCACTAGCCGCCTCAGCTGCCCCTCCCTCCGCTCGATCCTCTCCTCCAGGTCGCCCACCTCCCGTCCCACCCTCCCTATCTCGTCCTCCAGCGCCGCTATCTCCCTCCGGTTCTCCCCCCCGCGCGGCCTCTTCGCCGCGTACGCGTCCAGCAGCGTGATCTCGTCGCGCCGCTTCTTGGCGCTCCTGGCAGCCTTCACACGCGCCCTGCCCAGCGCGAGCTCCTCCCTGGCGCTCTGCCTTTGCCGATCAACCTCAGAGCCCAGCTCCCCGTAGAACCCCCCGCCGGACGCCAGGCTGCGCCTCGAGGACAGGATGGCGCGCTCCCTGGCCTGGGAGGCCAGCAGAAACGCCTTTGCGGCGCACGCGTCGACTAGCACCTCCCTGTGGGCCTTGGTGAAGTCAGCCTGCGTCACAAGGGCAGAAGGACGGCGTTTGTCCCTAAGGCAGGAGGACAATGTTCGTCCCAAAAAGGCGGATGAAAAGCAGGCTATTGAATGGGCGCCTCCCTACCGGGCGGCAGCCTTGTGGAAATGTGCATCCGCGCGGTGAAGGTGGTGCAGGAGTCTGAGTGCGGGGGCGGGACAGCACGCAACGCGGGGCAGCAAGCATGACGATGGGACTTGCCTGCGTGCCCTGCAGCGCCGCGTTGCACATGAGTCGGTACTTCTCCAGCAGGCGGCTCAGGGGGCGGCCGGCGTCGCTGTAGCCCGCCACCCGGGCTTGGGCCAGCTGGTCGTCCTCCTTCGGCATGGTGGCTGTGCTAGTGGATGGCTGCAAAGACGGTTGTAGTTGAGCACCGCTGGGGTGAAAATTATTGCAAGGGGCTGGAGTTCTGCATCACCAAGAAAAAAAAACTATCAAGAAAAAGAGCTAAGGAAATTGACAAGAGGGGGGCCTCTGCGGGGGTGCTAATGACAAAAGGGGTCCTCTGACCAAACCCCTGTATATTAGACATGTTGCCAGATCGGCACCGTTCTGCAAACCGGTCCTACTAGGGGCGAGCCCGCAGCGGACCCCCTTCTGTCATTTGCACCTCGGCTGAGAACCCGCTTTTGTCAATTTCCCTCTTGGGGGTGTTGTGGGGTCACTGCGATGCCATTTAGACGGCCACTCCTGCCCTTGGTATACCATTTAAATGCCACTGGTCTTCCTAAATATACATGAATCATTATGGGCAATGACCTGATTGTGTTGCCGCTTCAAAAGTCACTAAAGAACGACTTGGGTGCGAAATCTGAAGAGATGTCTTGTAAGCGTAAATGCTTCATTCTTTCAAAATCGTTAACTTCTCTTAACGTTCAGTTCATTCTGGGCATTCCAAAAGCATTCATGCTCAACCTGCATGACACGAAGGGGTGAGTGCTGCATGAGTTTCTGAGCATGAAATCAAGAAGTAAAGTCGACCTGCATTGGATCTATATGCGTGAAGCAAAATGACTGCATGTTACTTTGAGATCACAAGGCAATATTTGTGCGTTTTTGGTGAGTCTCCTGCCACAAGCGATGATTGAGACGCAACGATCGCTCAGTACATGGGTCAGGATGTGGTAGAATTGTTTGAGAACGATCGTGATTTGTGATTGATCGGCTGTGTTCGATTGGCAAGGTCGTTGGTGACTGCTGTATTGGAATTACAATTGAGGCGCATGCAGCCTATTTTTTTTGTCAAGAACGGATTTGGCAGGTCCTGACAAATCCAAAAATGCCAGCCTGGCCATGATGCATAGTCCTGTGGGTGAAGATTGATGCCTTGCAAAGTAAATATAGGGCTGGACAGCTGAAGGTCAGTACCACAGAAAGCGAATGTGCAGATGAACATTTACACCTCACAAGTTTCTGTCTCGTGAAGGTGCAACGTCTACCTACAACTATGGTTGCTACAGTTTGGTCATGCCCTCATCGTTACAAACACGTTTTGCCTTCAAGGGAAGGCAAAAGCAACGTTCAATGCTGAACGTTCTGGATAGCGAGGATTCCAACTGCTCAGATTTTTAATAGCTAGGTTTCTCATACCTTGGGTTGTGCACTGCTAGCCAGCATCAACACAGATGCCACAAACATTTTCACAGATCGTCAATAGGCATCCAAGGATCTCACAAGACAATCCCGCAAAACTCGGTTCGCAATCACAATCACATGGTTTGCCACAGTTTTTTGCTCACTCAAGGTACCCTGTGGACTGCCGCCGCGCTGGGAGCACGTAAAGTGAAGGCAGTGCCAGCGAGCGAGAAAATGGATGCCACAAACATTCTGACAGAATGTCGAAAGCAATCCCAAGATCCCGCATAACTGTCCCACGCAACTCGGTTCGCACAGACAATCACACTGTTTGCCTTGCCTGCACGCCCGTGCTTTTCTTTGCAGCGAGCGCACTCGGGTTCGCCGAGGGAGGCTCCGCCATGGTAAGAGGATCCTCAGCCATCCGACCGGTCGCCACACCATTTTCAACCTTTACCATTTACCTGAGCCTTCACCCCTCGCTTTGCTTCGCCATGGCTACGCCCGTCATTGCCGGGTGCTCTCCTCCGCAGCTCCGATCGCCGCTTGCTCTCCCCACAGCACCGATCGCCGCTTGTTCTCTGCCGCAGCTCCGATCGCTGCGGTAGCTTGGATCGCTGCGGTAGCTTGGATCGCTGCGGCAGCTTGGATTGCTGCGGCAGCTCGGATCGCTGCTCGGTCTTCCCTGCAGCTCCGATCTCTGCGACTGCTCCCCACACCCCCCGGCGCCCTCCCAGAGGGGTCGCCCCTAGTAGGACCGCAGTGCGGTCTGGCTCCAAACCGGCGCCGGTAACGCGCCTGTTTGACGCCGGTCTGGCAACGCGTCTCATGTACGGGTGCCACACGGAGGACCCCCTTTTGTCCATTTCCCTCCTTCGGCATGGTGGCCACAATCGTGGATGGAGGCCGTGACGGTTGTAGCTGAGCACTGCTGGGGTGAAAATTCCTGCAGGTGGGTGGAGTTCTACATCATCAAGCACAATCTGTGCATGCCAAAAAGAATGTTGATTTCCGCGGCAGTTCACGATGCCCAAGTGAACACCGCTGCGCTGAGTGCGACAACTGGTCACTGACCCGCGCTGTTTTGTGCGTGGTCTTGATGGCCAGAGCTGGCTCGCTGTGTTGTGTGGGATGATCAGAAGAATGCATCAAAATTAGTAAAGAAAAGTGCAATTAATGCGAGGGATCTTCGGATATCTTGGAGTTGAAAGTTGTTTCTGGGGCTTGGTGCTCAGCAAACAGCACACACACACGAGCCTGGCGCCTCCCTATCCAACATGCGAACTGAGCCTGCTGGGGTGGCCAATAAACGGGGCCAATCTAAAATAATGACTGGCAGCCAATTTATCTACGTACTGCCAATAAGCTGGCGTGCCGTGAGGCACGGAACGTGGTCCAGAATCCAAGGGAAGCCACGGCAGGCTGGGGTGCAACATTGGGGATCAGGTCATCGACAGCAAGGGATATTGAACATCACCAGTAGCCATTAAGCCAGAGCAGCAACATAATGCACGCAGCTGTGGGCATGCAATACGTCAGTGCATTGAACGCAGACTTCAAATGCGACTCAAGGCTATGACGCCCGAACTCGTCCACCAGAAAATGAGATAACGTGTCGGCATGCTGCATGTTTGGTTCCTCAACGACAGCTGCGAGGAAGGCCGTCTCAATCGGCAGGGGTTTCAAAGCCACAAAAATGTGAAAGTGGTCCAAGATGGGCTGCATAGGGATATGATATTGAGTCCTTTCTGCATTGACATTTGATGGTTTTATAAATTTTTCCGGTGGCACTTGACAGCCAGAATGGGGACGTGACCTGTTTGCTGAATGAACATCAGAGCCGGCATATGTTTTGCCATGTGCTGGCATGAATATAATGGCTATGGATGCGCTGGTTGAGTAACATCATGTCTGTCGAATCGCCCTGACAGCAGATATCCGAATCCGATGTGCCGAACGGTAGAGGGCTAGAGTGGCATTTTTTTTAGCTTGGGCCGCGTGTTTTGTGGTGTTGGTGCAATCCTTGCGCGAGGATTAAGTGAGCGGCTGGTAATGGCCTATAAACATGGGATACCCATTCGGAGGTAGGATGGGTTGGGAGGGAATATGATGTGAACTCCCCCAGCTGATGGGACATTTTTAGGATCAAAGTGGATCTGATGCAGCGACATGCACGAGGTTTCAAAGGGCTATTTTGTGTGGCTGCCGCGGCATGTGCAGCGCCACAAGTTTGCGCTGCCCGTTTCTGGAGGGGATGCAACGGAACGAACAACAGGTTGTGAAGTTGTAATCGCCTTGATGGTGTTCTCCGAGTGTGTGGCCTTTGCACATGGGTCGCGGCCTGTAACCAGATCGCATTTGCTTCAAAGCGCCATGCATGCAAAGCGACCTAATTTCACCGCCTTCTGTCGCTTTCTTCAATCGGTCGGGGGTGGGGGACGGCCGAATCTTTTGAAGACTTTCACTGTGCTGCCCGGAGGGGCTGGCCATATTTCGGCCACGATCTTTGCAAGCCACGTCCAGGCCGGGTGACCCAGTTTGGCCTCCCGACATGCTCATCCCAGAATCGCACAACACGAGTGCCCAACCGTTCTAGTGCTCATGACGGTGGCTTGCCCCACGTTCACGTTGCTTGTGTATGAATTTTCCCATGCGACGCAGACATGTATGACACGGTGGTGACGTAAATGGCTGATTGTTTCGCTCATTCGCTTTTGAACTCCGCCCCTATTTGGTCAGGCCAAGTCTCTTTTCTTGCTGTCCGTTCGCATGTGCTCCGGTAGTACTACGCCCGTCATTTGTCGTTGCTTCACTCCAAGCTGCAACCTTCCCCAGTCGTTCTGCCTGTGCCTGTTGCATCCGTTCTAGCGGCACCTCGATGGTCATCTTTGTAATCATTGTCTCAAAATTGTTGCTGTACTGATGTTAATACTTGTGTGATTGTTATCGTCATATTGACAGTAATACCATATCATGATCATCATCGTCATTATGGTTATTATAGGCACTTGGCAGATATGCATACTCGTCTTCTCCAGGCTGAGACTCAATTCATAAATCTTTGCACTTCGCTCTTTCTGTCTCTCCTCAACTTCCCCTCCTTACTTTTACAACTACCCCTAACCGCCATCCCTATGTTTCAATACCTTTACTACCTGTCTACACCTGTGAACCTATGGTTTTGTAACCTGGGCATTCGTCCGCCGAGCCGCTGCCAATCTCTGGCTGTGAATCGCGGGTGGTGCTGACGTCTTGCCCAACGACACAACAGCCCCGGGAGTGCAACCTGGAATGTTGATCCCATCGCCCTGCCACACCACACTGCCAACATCTTCTGGCACCAATGTGCTGCGGTTCTTGCACCGCATAACCTTTTGAGCAGACCTTGCAACACTGTCTGCATATTGCCAAATAAGGTCGGAGAAGGCAACGATGCTGACATCCTCTGTCTCCAAGCTGGTATTGTCGTCCGCCTTGCACTCCTTTGCAATGTAGTTGCTCAGGTGCCTCATGGGCTCCTGAGGCCTTGCCTGTGGCCAGCTGGATTGGGGCACTGTTGGAGGCTGCAGTGGGGCATTTGGCGGCCTTGTGGGAGGGCTGGGAGAAAATTGAACCTGCAGATATTGACAGATGTTCGCCATTAAACAGTTGAAGTTTGTATTTTGTATGTGCTTGCAATGGGCACCATTTGGCCTTGGGCATCTCATGGGCCATACGACCAGAACATTGCTACTTAAAACATGCTAGCTGCATTGTGCACACCAGCATTCCTAGCAATTTAGTGGTGATCTGCAGCAGCGTCAAGGTGATCCATGTACAAGTTACACCCCCCACCACCATCTCATCGCTCATAACTATATTGCCTGTCCAACGTGCATCGCATTGCCAACTTCCAACATATGTTAGTTGTTGTGGCTGCAATTCAAAGTAAGATGGAAGGCTCACCTTTTTGTGTGCTGGCTGCCTATTGGGCACCAAAGATTCTGCCCGTCTTTTGTTGCTCAGGGGTGGCTGTTGTGGTGGTCTGTATGCTGGACACACAACGAACAACAATAGGATGCTGACCTAGGCAGTTCCAAGAGATTCCATGTGCTCTCCAACACCATCCTTAGTGAAGAAGGGGCAAAAAGACAAAACTTGTGGCTCTCAACAGTGCCTGCCATCGTCCCCAAAGGTGCAACGGGTGCCCCCAAGGGCAGAGATTCATCAAATTCATAACGTAGTTCAATAGACAAATGCTTACACAGACTAAAACACAGCTGGTGAGCATGCTTGACAATGGTGCAGAAGGCGGGTAAGACAACTGATGGAACATCGGGTTGGCTCATTTGCAGCAGAGCATTGGAACCAAAGCCAAGGGAATTCGCATATTGAAACACCCGAGGGCATCCCCGATTCTGCATTTTCATTACAGCTTTGACGACTCTGATGTGGTGGAGCGATGCAGTCATGAAGTGCATCAGCAGATGCGGCCTGTCCAGGAGAACTGACCTTGAGACCTGCTGGGCATGTGCTGATCACCATATGAAGGACCCGGGAAATGATACCCAGTTGACATCATGTGCTGTGCACAGCAGGAATCGCATTGCTGAGGCCCTCAGTATCGATCAAGTGAACTCCAGTCAAAATACCCGACACCTGGCTGGTGGAGGAACCATGAAATGCCATCTACTTCTTCCACACAACGAGCACTGCAAGATGATTAATAGATGATGGAATAGGCACTTCTGGGCAATGCCCCCAATTGAAGGTTTATCTGCCTGTCCAAGCATCGCAGCCGCACGTCTGTTTTGCCAAAGTGAACAGCAACTTGCGGGAAACCACTCTGCAGCCATAACGTTGACGACATTGCTGGACAAGCTTCGTTTCCTGGCAGGTGCTTCGGCTTTCATCGCTGCAAGTTGACGTGAGGCCCCGAAGACCCCAGGCACTTCCAAAACATTGCAACCGCAGCGGGCAATGGGCCAGCCAGGGCCTGCTGACCCCTCGGCACCGCGGGTCGGCCCCCCCGTTCGACGCCGCAAGAGGCACGCAAGGCCGCCCGCGCCAAAACGACCTCCACAGACTTCATCCTCCGAGCTGTCGCCACCGTTCTGCCGGACTCCCTTCCCCCTACCCTCCCTTTCCACCCCAGAACGACGCCTCCCAAACCGCCCAGGGACGCTCAACGCCAGGGAAAATCAAACTTCCCCACGCCGGTCCAACCCTCGAACCGAAAAGCCCAACCGCCCTCCCTCCCCCACCCCCTCAGACGGGACCCCGTACCGTGCGCTCACCGGTTGGGAGGCCCGCGGGTTCAGTATGGGCGGCGGGTGCGGCTGCGGCGGTGGCGGGCCCATGTGCGGCATGTATCTGTGCTGCTGCATGGGCGGCGCCTGCGCCGGCCGCAACCCGGCATGCCGAATGCCCCCCCTAGGCGCCCCGTAGGGCGCCCCACCGCCCATCGCGAACACCGCCCCACCGCCCTGGCCGGGCTGCCCAACGCCGTGCACGGGTGCCATGCCGTAGGGTGGGGCGGCCACCTGGGGTGGCCGGTGCGGCTGAGAGATGCCGGGATCCTGGGGCAGGCCCTGCACGCCGCCGGGGCGGCTGGGCCCCTGGCCGAACGGGTAGCCCGGCTGCGACATCCGGGGCGCCGCAGAGGCGGCATGCGCGGGCGCGGGGGTGCACGGGGAGCGAAGGACGCCCTAGCTGACCGGCAGCTGATTTTGGAGCCGGAGGGAGGCAGGGCGCCAGGGATGGGTGGCTCTTGTCGGACCGTGCTAAACCGAAGGGGCAGCACGGCCACGCCTGTCTGGGCTGCGGCTGGTGCGGGAGCGGGGTGGTGGCGGTGTCCAGGCGGAGCACAGCGGCCGTGGAGGTGGGGCCCGGGATGACGGCAGGCGCAAAGTGCGGGCTTGGTAAAAATCGGTGTTGATTTTATGGAATCGGGGATTAATTGTCCGGGGTGGAAGGGAGCCAGAAACGGTGTTTCTGGCGCTAGGAGGGGCAGCGGTGGTGGTGGCCAGTGGCGCGGACAAGGGCCTTTTTGACGCCTGGGAAGGAGGCGGGGCTGCGGCCCCTCGTGCGCCTCGCCAACGGGGGCCGTTTCGGGCGGCCCGGACGTCGCCTCGATTCATGGCGCGGGCCTTGACCGCCCATGCCTTGTGCTGGAGTCCGAGGGTCGAATCCGCCCAGCAGGAGCGCGCGAGCCGCAGCCGGTGGCTCGCTGGCTGCCGGGTATTCTCGCTGAGGTGCTGTGCCGTCGCAGAGGAGGGCTGATCTGAGTGGAACCGGGTAAATCGAGTTGGCTCCGCTCTGTGTTCACGAGGACGATGGATTCCGGGCTGTGCTGACAGGCCGTCAGGCGTGTTTTCTGCCGCTCAGAGCGTCGGGACCAGGTGCTGAACGCGGGAGCTCCTTTCGCTGGCTTGCGCTGTTTGCGGGCCTCTTTGGAAACGTTCTTCGCTGGATCTGACGGAGACTGGGTTGTTGGGGGTGGGCTGATTGGTAGCATCCGCGCAAGGGACGCCGTGCTGGGACCGACGGAAGTTGGGTGGTGGCGTTGAATGGGCGGAGGAGATGCCCTTCAAAAGGGATGACGTTGTTATCAAACCTCCCTGGCTCGGAGATCCTCCACGGCGAACGAGGTCCGCCGCCAGTTTTTCGTAGGGCGGGCGCGAGTCTGATGATCCCCAGGACATCTACTTCCAGGTCTGTGGCGTGCGCCAACCACCGTCAGCTGAAAAAACGATGGCAAAAGTTGTCGGAGGGTGGCGGGCGAAGGTGCGGGAGGCTGGCGGGAGGTAGCGGCATCCCTTGAGGTCAAATTGCCGCACGCAGCGATGCCGCATTTGTTCGCGCCTCCGCATAGAAGCACCGAGAGGCATTTGGCGGCAGCTTTATGGACGACTGTGTTGGGTGCACTACAAGGCACAATGGGAACTCCATTGAGATGGCTGCTAAATTCCGAAGAGCTGCAGGCACGCACCTTGATGAATCTAACGTGGCTTCATGGGTGCCACTCACATCAGACAGACAAACCCCTTAGTTTCATGTACGGGGAACAATGTCCTTGCTCCTTCAGGTTCATGACGGGCATGATTCCAGCATTGTTCGTCGCATTCCCAACATTCAGAAACATTCGAAGCACTGGGGTGGCTTCCTGAGCAGTGCCCCTGGTACACTGATGCACAGTACGTGTGGACATGTTGCCATGATACCTGGGCGTTCGTCTGGGGCTGCAGCGGACCAACTGAGGCGTGCATCTGAGCTTGACATCTTTCAACAGTAGAATCCCAAGTTTTGGGGCGTCCGAGGGGCGCCCGGAACAGCAGGCGGTCGAGGCAGCCACCAATGTAGAGAAGGCACAGGAAGGTGCAAACCAAATCGTGGCTAGAGGCGAACGAGTCTTCTGAGAGGGACCCACATGCAGAGCCAACTCGAGAATGCTGCCCACATTTGGAATTCCAGGTTGATATCTGAAGGGCTGAAATAGATCACCGCCAATATTGCATACAAACAATATCATGTGCTTACAAGACATTGTTGTGTTGAGCATCAACAGGAAACATGCACTTAATGTGATTTGCAACACTGTTGAGTTGTCCAAAGGATGTGCTTTATGGGAGCGACTCAGGGCATCGTTCATGTGTCGTATCAGGGAAATACCCGTGACCCATTGAATTGTGCCTGTCTTGGGGGAGTCGTCTTCTACTTTCCCCTTTTCAAGATAAGTGGAGCTCACAACTGTCCATGCAACCTGGCGTTGACCTCAGAGTCTTGCAGTCTTTGTTGGAGTGTCCTGTGAGGTTGGGCTGCTCATGTGTGCATGGCTGCTGCAGGTTGGCTCACGTTAACTTGAGAGACTGTGGCCGACCTTTCGGTCGTGGTCAAATTCGGTCATCCTCAGGCTGCTTAAGCTCACTTTGTATTTCTGTCTTGGGACCATGAAACACCCGCTGGCGATCCCCTGTCAGTGTGTATAGAACTACTAGTCGATCCTGATGCAGCGGCAACTCAATGTGGTGCCTCTGGCCAACGCAACTGTGAAAGAAACGTTCACTTCAAAGAAACGTTCAATTGTGAATGCACACAAATTGGGGAGATCAATGTCAAGCGGCAAGTTCCAAAGTTGTCATCAATGGGAAAATGGGGATTCCCAACTTTGAGTCCACCCTGTAAACAGAGGTGCAAAGCAGGTGATTGTTGTAGTGAATGTGATGTGCATAGCTATTGTGGCTGAGTTTCATGGAGTATACATGTCTACGCAGGACCCTTGCACCATGCCATTGACGACTGGCGTCTTACATCCAAAAACATTGCAGGAATTGTGGTACATCAGATGCAACAAAGGCAGCCAGTGTGCGTGACGTTTCTGGCTGTGCTGTCAGACCTGATGGTAGTTAGTTACACAGTCCCAGTGACCTGTCTTCAATAGTTGACACTTCTGTTGGAAATCAATCGGATGATTGACCCGCATGTACCTGCAGGTTGGCAGGTTGGCAGGTTGGCAGGTTGGCCTGGACACAGCTGGATCGACAGCTTGACTTCACCCGGCACGTTCAAATTTGGACGTGTCAGATGACGTCAGGCTGTCGATCTGGACTCCAGAGCAACACTGGCTATTGGCACATTGGCACAACCGACCCCATGGGATCCGATTTACTGCACTCTCATGTTGCATTCTTGAACAAAATTGGATGTGTTTGGTTTCTTTGCATTCTGTTCCATTTCCATTGAGGCCAACAGCTTGTGCACGTGCAAGGGAAGCGTTTGTACTGATTCATCTGATCCGGATGCTGCTTGCACCTGACATGCGCACATTCCAGGATGCCTCTCAAGGAGCACTTGAGTGCCAGCCATCCAACGCAACACTGCAGCAGCCTGATGGACTGTGAGTGTACACCAAGGCGACACACCAGCCACTGGTAAGTGCCCCAGAATGGGAATGACAAAAGTCGGCTACAACATCCTTTGAGTGGGCTGTAAACAGAGCAAACATGTGGCCAGGTGATCGATGCTGTGGCTCGATCCTGGACCTGATGGGAGCGCTCGACCAATTGTCGCCTTCGACCTGCAATATCCAACAGCAGTGCCCAACATGGGAAATGGGCAGCTTTTGTCCACGTTTGGACAAATGAATCAAATACAAGTCCTCCACTATCCCGCCACACCTCACCATCATCCCACGCAAGCAAGGAGTCTGTCTGAGTGCGAAATTCACTGCAGGAGGGTGAGCAGTTTCCAACAGAAGCACACAACGAATCAAGTGTACAAGCAGGTGTAGACCTTGGCTGGGCAAACCGTCGCAGACTTTGTTGGCTTCACTGCTATGAAGCCGCAGTTGTGGTAGTGCTGCACGCTCTCGTGAACACCGCTGCCTTGCTGCTGCCACATGGTCATGTTTCTGAAGTCTTGAGCCTCAACAATGCCACATCAAAGGCGGCAAGGACATTACACAAGCAGATTGTGCACTGATAATGCAGCTGCAAATGAAAGTCCAAATTACAGTCGAGTGCAGCATGGCTGCTCCCTGTCCCCTTCCTCCTGTCCCTTGTTCCTATCATACCTCGAACTAAAACTTAGGGTACAGCAGTTCCACTTCCTTGCTGGCATCCACTGCTGAAAAGAAATTCCAATCTGCATGGCGGCATGCAAGGAATGTCTTCACAAGGTCACTTCCCACCACTGCACACAGCCAACAAAGAGCCCACTGTCAGTAACTTGGCTGTGGCAGGTTGGCCAGAGACACCGGCTGCATTCTTCAAGTCCACAGCGTTTGTATTGTCAATATGGTAGAAAACAACGCCAATTCATCCACAATGTGGTAATCTCCAGTGCTGTTCCCAGACAAAATTGGCCACTTTGCGGCGCAGGGTGCGTAACTTTGCACCATTGCTGCCGGGCAGGGTCCTGGTAATCAGGAGAACAGTTTGGCAGGTGCTTTCCAGCTGAGGTTGCACGAATAGGTCGAAGGAGTCGATTGTTGCCAGTGTGGTGTGGATAGGCGTTGCCTGGTGAACATGCCCTCCAGTTCCTGTCAGATTGATAGATGGATGGATGGATGCATGCATGCAACACAAGCTCACCTGAGCACATTTGCTTGGTTACAAAAAATACTGCTCTGCTGTGCACAAGCTGCTGCACTCAGAGAGCAAAAGGGATCATTTTCTGCAGTATGGAACACAATTCCTTGAAAATTGCTTACTCACAACGGAATGCGCATTTTATTGCCTGCTTTCTATTTTGTACGAATATTCGAATTGACTGATGTCAGAGTTGTCGTCAGTGGCCCTACCAGTGGGGCTTTCATCAGGCTGAGCTGTGTCAAGCCTGTCTCATGTCAAGAAGCATCTCTCAGGTCTGACCACTGCTGCACCATATCACCTTGTGGGTGCAAGAGCAGTGCCTTGTCAAACATTGGCAATGCAATTGCAGGCTATTTCGCATTCCTTCCAAACAACATGTCGATCAGATGGTCAAAGGCAAAACCTGCACACCTGACTCGAAACCGTCCCTGAAACTCTGGTCCTCATCCAGCTGGTGCAGTGCATCCCCAAGCGTCGTGGGCAGAGCATCAGCCTGCGCTTGTCTACGTTCTTCTTCCGTCATCCTTGCTGGGTCGACATTCACCGGTGGTGGCAGACTCGCCTTTTCCTCCATGCCTGCATCCCAGCAGGCTTCAATACCCTTGTCCTTGTTGCAGAGAGGCATCAGCTCAACATAGGGCTGGTCACGAAGCATCAAAGATGACTAACCAGCCAGTATGTTCCAAAACATTGGTCCCACACAATTTGCCAAGAAAATATCAAATTCAGTGATTCAACACCACCCACCAGCACAATATCCCCTGCAGAGAATGCTGCAGACCAGTGTGGGTGCAGTAGACGTTGACAAAATCCCTATGCTTGTCAAAATTTGCCAATATAGGGACCCAGGCCCTTGGTTGCCAGCTACTGGGTTGAAAGAACAATCTGCACACTCACTTTTCTGAGCAACATTGACAACAGTTTCGTTGTCGAAAGACAGCCAGAGTTGCTGCAGTGTGCATCCCAACAATCAGGAGCCTTGTTCTAAAGGTTCTGTGGGAATCTGTTAGCTTGCACTTTGGCCGGAATGCTTAACAATTAGTGTCACTCATTTGTCAGATGATGTCAGGATCCAACGATGAACGCTTCGAACAACCAAAAAACAGTTGGCAAGGGCGCCATCAGAGCTTGTTGAATGTCTACAAGCATGTGGAATTCTGGCATCAGCTCTATTTGAACACCACACACCCATCATGCCAGCCGTGATGACTGCAGCCAGTGCAACGTAGGGGTTTGAAGAGCCATCTGAACATTTGTACTCGCAGTGTGGACCACCTTCTCCTACAACAGAGCCATGGCAAACTCTACATTGCTAATCATTGTACATAATCTCTTATTTGCATGGCCGATGGTTCCCCAAATGAGCTTCACAGATTGCTTCACTCACAGTAATATTTGGTTGTGTGGTTATAGGCATTTCCTTGTGCAACAATCACTGCCATGATGGCCATGACAAATTTGCATATTTCTGTGGGTGCGTCCCTTTTATTTCCTATACTCGAATAGCTGAAGAACACATTCCCAGTCTTTCATGTTGCCGGCTGTTCAATTTCTATCGCAACGTACAGTCAGTACATTGTGCAACAACAATCCAACGTTTTGCAACCGGCCCCAATACAAGCAGCACATTGTTCATATGCAAATGCCTCATATTGTGACATGCCTGGGTGCAGGAAAACTCAACTGTTCTCTGTACTGATCTTCCAGTGCATCAACGTTCTCACTGGGGCCAGAGCATAGCCTGGGTAGGATGATTTGATGTGCTAGGGTGCAAGACATAAGACAACGCCACCATCGTACACTGCAATAATTAACAGATTTATGCGCAACTGACCAGGACCAGGCGGGAAGACAACTCTCAGTGGTGCTTCCCGATTATTGTTTCCCCAGCACCGGAAGGCACCACTCCAGCATCCAGGGGCAATCCTTCGATAGCTGTTCGTCGATGGTGCAGTGAAGCATACCAGAGCAGGGAGATGTCGCAGAATGCCAGCCACAAACGAGCTTGCCGAAGCAGACAAAGTTTCACGGGAACTGCCAGACATTACCTCATTTTCACCCTGTGCGCACAAAACACAGTCTGGAGATCAGTGAAGTAGTTGGGCATGCAAAGTACCAAGACAAGATGACCATTGCCTGAACATGAACATGGCAAGGTGAAAGCAGCATCGACTGCAGCAGCTGCTACAACTGGTTTGAACATAGAAAAACGTTTTGAGTTCAAATAACAGCTGGAAGCGATGCCGTCCCATGCAACAAATTGTGACAGCAAACTTCGTGTTCGTCCATTCCTTGCACGCAGCCAGCAGGTGTAGGGAAGAGGTAGCCAGAATGATATGCAAAACAAACCCCAAACATGTACACAATGCAGCTCTGCCAACTCTTCTTTCAATATTCCCTTTTCCAGCACACACACTGGTCACCAGTGTGTACATCCACCACACGTTTTCCACCAAAACAGGTACCTTGCTTCCATCCCTTTATTACAAAAAATGTGCCAAAAAGTACCTGCCCACAACACAATAGGCAATCCAAGACATTTCTGCAATGCAAAAGGACCAAACAGGGGGTACAGACATTGGGCACAAATCCCGGGGTCAGCTAGACATTCAGAACAGCAGGAAAATGCTGTTGGACTGGTGGAGGGTATTTGGCCAATCTCAGAGGAAATATTGTTGCAACACTTGCACTGACGGCAACCAGCTGGAGCAATGTTGTGCAGTTTCGCTTGGTCATGCATGGTCATCAACCAACCATGGAAAACAGATAACACCCTCCTTTCCCGTTTCTTTCCAGGGATCATTGTGCTAGGGTTCATTTAGTTTTCATCAGGTGTTGAAGCAAACATGTTGAATACAATGTGACAAAAAGGCAGGGACAAAGGCTCCGTGCAGCTCCCCAAGGTGCTGGCATTCGCCTCACCTGCCAGAGGCTAAAGTGAAACTGAAGACCATTTCCTGCCTTGTCTGGAAAGTACTTAGGCAAGAAGGTAGCCATGAGATCGTGCTGTCGAGCAACAGCAGATATTGCTGCCTTGGTCAGTAGCACCTTGTCTGCAGCCTGCAACGGACTGAAAGGGGCAGTTGCGATTTCAAACTGGCCAGGGGCAGCTTCAGCATGGCACTGATAGACTTCGAGCTGCATCCTCCGCAGATTGCCCACCATATCGTCAAGGACTGGTTCCAGCACAGCAGATTGAGGGCCACAGAGTGCAATTTATTCCCATCTGCTGCATTTGCATTCACAAGACAAAGGCGGAGCCCGTGCACCCTGCCATCCTGCATGTGACCACTTGCGCAAGCATATCCAACGCATCTGTTTGTTCTGGGGGCATTGAACATGCCGACATGGGTACGCATTCAAGAAAGTCTCAGAATGCGGAACCATACGATGCCGAATCCCTGATCAAGTCTGTCTGCGATGATACTGGACGTGCTAATGGCACCCAGTTTAATGGGATGCAGTGACTCAGTTTGGGTACTGGGTCTGGCAGATGGTCCTTCCAGAAGCAAGTTTTTGGATTGCAGATTTGGGCACGAATGCAAGGTGCCACCAGTGAACAACGTGCCACTGGGCCACGCCACTGAGTACAACTTTGCCTTGCAGGCTGCTGAAATAACCATGATGGCTTATTGTTGTTTGAAACTGGATATTCTGTCAACCTGTCTATCTTCCTGGCCTGCTGCTGACTCAAGTGGCAGTTCTGAAGGCCAAACCTCTGCATTAAATTCGGTGAGTAGTACACTCTGCCACACAGCTGTCCGGAATTCACTTGCAGAAGTACAGTGTATCAACAGCATTGTGCCAGGCACTGTGCGATACCGTGAGAGGCGCACTGCGGTAATGTCCTTATTTGGCAGTTAACGTACTTGCTGCAAACTTGTCCACAGCGCTTGCATAGCAGTAGGTATGATCGTCAGCTGCAGCAGGCAGATGCTCACTACCCTGGAGCCGCTTCTTGGGATCTAGAAGTACAAATTCCGTTTCAAAGCCAATCTGCAAAGGAAGAAAGCAGAATGAGTGTCATCCATGCAATGACCATCCACTACATATTTTGCAACAATTTGGAAGGTGGAACAATGAACAAGATCAGGAGGTGATGTGATGCAGAGGACAGTGGAAATGATGTACAGGTGCTAAGAGGTCATGCTTGTACTTGTTCCCAAAGCAAGAATTCAGGTCCTCTGCAAAACAAAGACAAGTGTGCTTTGTGCATGCACACAGATTGCACAACCTTCAATTCAAGGCCAAATCTCTCCTTGAGGGCTGTTACTGCATTCTGCAGTGCCTGTCGAGGACAACACCTCCAATTCGTTCCTGCAGCACAGCACGTCACCAAAGATTCAAGTACTCATTGGCCAGAAAGAATCTGTGCAAAGATCATGAGATGCCCTTGTCTTGGCCAAGTTTTGCACCTTCAACTACCCTCAAATGGAAACTGAAGATAGTGCACTGTGCAAGTTGTTTTCTGGCAATGCATGCAGATACTAGTGCACAGTTCAAAGGCAAATCAAACTCCAACGGTGCTGTTGTCACTTGATCAATTTGGGGTCCACTGCCAGGAGCAATCGACATGTGCTGACAGATCCAAGCCAAATAAATCACGTCCATGATTCCCTCCGAAGCTAGTCTGAATGAATGTTCTCCTTTTAATGGACTGCATCATCAAAACAGAAACCGGCGGTGTGAAGGTGCTGCACTTGCAACTGGTGTGAGGCTCAACATGTGCTGCACCCTCCAAAGCAGCCAAGCTTGCAAGATGGTTGGCACGGGGACACCACCTGGAGGGGCCACAAGGTTGGCCATGACATGGCCATGGTATGAATACCATGGGAGAGTGATGAATGTATCTGGATCAGGCACTAGCCTCCATTCCCCAGTCACTTGATGAGGGGAGTCTGCAGGTGGCACATCCCCCCATGCAGGCATTCCGATGCCGCTAGCCACCAGACCAAGACCATGTTGTGCAACATGTTCATACCGTCCTGAAGGAACAAGCCTACAACCACAGATGCACTCCACATCCTGACATTAATAAAATTTGGCACAACAGGCCAAGGCAGATTGTTTTTGTCAACACCAGAGAGCGTACGCCAGGCAATTCCAATTTCTTTTGGTGGAGACACAATCAATCAGGCAGAGTGCTGAATTCCTGCGTGCTGGTGCCGAAGAGAAGCAAAATCTGTTCTTGGGTTAATGAGGCTATACCAGACAACTGGCTTACTGAGCAATGACGTCATTTTGGCATTGCCATTCCTGCAATTACAACAGGTGCATCACTTTCCCTTTGGACCCTTTTGATTTCCCTGCTTTGAGTAAGTCGACAGATTTTCCTGCTGTGAATTTACTTCACAACAAGGTATGGTAACTGCCAAGGGACATTCTTGACACCCCTGTACTGGTGTGCACATTGTTTGGAATACTGGATCACTGTGGTGTGCAGGTACCACAGCCCAGTCCAAAATGAAGACCTGCAAGCTGATCCACCTTTTTGTCTCCAACCATGGTAGTTGGTGCAAGAGAGCAAGATGATGAGAATGCCAATCACCAATCCAGCATCCACCGTTGCCACAAACTCATTGTCCACAACTCCCTATGTGACAGCATCACAGTCAAGTATTTTCGATCACATGACTGTATCCAGCACAATGATCACTTGCTTGGCAGCAAATGGAAGCTTGGGAGCCCCCAGGTTCCACTGTGCATTCTGCTTTAATGAGCAACTTTATTGGCCTTGGGTTAGGTCTCTACCTGCATCTTGTGATTCCCGAGAGGTCACAGTACACGACACGAACAGCCTTCAATTCCCGAAGCTCTGCAATCCACAATGCGAAGTTTGTGTTAAAATTCTACAGCTACAGAGCGACCGAGTTCTTCAGCAAGACGAATGGAAAGGGAGGTCATCAACCTCAGGGAGCAATGCGGTACTGAGAAATGGAGGCACAGGCGTTTGGACTATGATGCCGTTTCTGGAACTGGAGCACATCGAGCACAAAACCAAGGGCAGGCGACGCTGCGGATGCACAGCTGCACGTAGTTTCTGGAACACCGCCTCGAAAGTGGGTCCCGTTTCGTCCCTTCGCCCCATTCCATTCCGTTTCGTTCCCGTCCCGGTCCGTTTCGTGTTTGATTCTGAAACCTTCGAGCGACCACAAACGTCGCCTGTGCGCGCTCACCAAAGCAAACTCGACATGCTGGGGTCAATACTCTGCGGATGATCGGCAATGTTCAGCCAGGATTGTAATGCACGCAATTCTTCTTGGGGGCCTGAGGCTACCGGGGAAGAGCAGGTGGAGAGGACTGAGGATCGTGGCGAACAATCAGACCAGGTGTGCTCTGAGTGCCATTCAGCTGTCCGATCCACGCGAGGATCAAAAGATCTCGCCAAGACGCTCGGATGTCCTTACTTTGCTTCATGCTTGGTCGCAAGCCCGTGAAGCGGAGCAAAGGGCCAGTTCCCAGGTAGCAGGTCACCAGGTAGCAGGTCACCCCGTGCCGGTGAGGCTTGTTCGAAGCTTCCCCTTTTGCGCTCGACTGCTGTTTTTACCACTACTTGGCCTGTCCCTGCTTGGGTGTCGCTGCGCAACCGTGATTGAAGTGTGCTGCGTGTGCTGCGACGTGTGCGATGTGGGGGTGCCGAGTGGAGCTGTGAGTCTGACGAGAACAGTGGTGCGTGGGTGATCGATCGTCGCCTGTGTCGTAACACACGTTCCTGTTTATCGTTGCCACCCGGTCACTCAAGTGTTAGTCTGTGATGCGCGGTCTCGACAGCGCTGGATCTGCTGACACTGGAATTCCTTACGCAAGTTGATGGTCGACCGCATTGGCTGCAAACTGTTCGCGGGCGGCATGATCTGCCATACGCACTCGCACCCTCGCACCCATCCTCGCTTGTTCTCCCTAGCGACTGTCAACGACAACCCGTTGAGGGTTGAGTAGGGGAGGGAGGCGGGTCGCTCCCCGTGGCCCGATTTTCCGAACAACGGGCTGCCCCATCATTCCGGCGGGGTGCCTGATTGCGTCTCGGAGGAAGCGCAGGCGAGGCCCGGGCTGAGCGAGGGCCAGGCGGTTGGTTGCCCTCCCGTCGGGGACTTGCTGGCCAGCGGCCTCGCGGCTACCGCCCCTGTCATCGGCATGGAGGCATGGTGGCCATGGACGGCGGCGCAATGTGACACAGGCTGACTGCATCCATGCTCTCCGGCAAGGTATTTGGGCAAGGGCGTCGGCGAAGCAGGTGGTGCTCGATGCCGCTGGCCTTCACCGACGCCCTTGGGGTTTGGCGCCCTGGGAATCGGGGAATCGCGCTGCGTGCGTTGAACAGCACCAGCTTGTCAGCTTCATGCTGCACGCGTGGTCATCGACGACGTCTCCAGAGTGGCTTGAAATCCCTCGCCCTGTCAACCCGCTGAACTGGGAGTGGTTGCGGTGGGTACTCAAACAGGAACGCCAGCAATTGACACGCAAAGCGCGTTGGCGCTCTGGTCCATGGTTCAGTGCGCTTGACGACGTTTTGTGTGTCGGGTGCGTGCCGCCCCACCTGTGAAGATGCGAAGACCACAGGCTGTTGCGCCCTTCAACCTTTTTTATGCTGGCGGCAGCCCCAGGGATGGCCAGGGGTTCTGCAAATCCAGCATCGTAGAATCCTGGGCCTAACTGCTCTGTGCTGATTGTTGCATGCGAAGATGCGGACATGCACAATGGCAGTATCCCTGGGGCCCATCACTAGTAAAAAACAGGCCAGATGACACAGTCCTGACACGGTCTGCTCAAAATCCAACTGTGTGCTTTCGGCAAATGTGGTCCCGAAAGTACACAGTTAGTACACACATTGACACAGTCTTAACCGTGCATCCTAGGAAATTGTGTAGTCAACACAGTTGTTTGAGGGTACACGGTTAAGACTGTGTCAATGTGTGTACTAACTGTGTACTTTCGGGACCACATTTGCCGAAAGCACACAGTTGGATTTTGAGCAGACCGTGTCAGGAATGTGTCATCTGGCCTGTTTTTTCCTAGTGCATACTGCAGATACATTGTTGCCATCAACACCATCATTCCATTGCAGTTTGCAAGCGATTGTGTTGTCAACGGGGCGCAGACTGGGCCCGTTTCTTGAGTCCTTGGACTGGCAGAATCCGCCTGATGGGTGCTGGGCGCAATTTTGGAGGAAGTTGCGAGATTGTTGGTGCTATAGCTCAGGTACAGCGAGCCAACAAGCGTATCTGAAAACGCCAGTACCACCGTACTACCGCCACTACAGTGGCACTGACAGCCGGCAGGTGCCATGCTTGAAGGAACAAAGGGCTCCCCTGCGTACAAATTGGACCACTGCGGTGCAACCTTTGAGCCATTCGTTTTGGGCCCGTACCTAGGCCTGTTGGTGCTGGGATTCCTGGAACGGCTTGGCCATAAAGTGCTGCAGTCGACTCTGCATCTACAACCAGTTAGTCTGTCCTGTCCTTGGCCTCTGCGAGTCACATGGCACCTTCCACAAATTGGGTAGAAAGCATCGGACCCATTGTAACTAGCTTCGCCAGGGGGCAGAACACGTCTTTGTCAGAAGGGATCAGTATATACAGTATATATATCAGAAATGTATTTCGTTGTACGATTAGTGTGAACACGAAGACTGTTGCCAAATACTTTGATACGTTGCCAGGAAGGGTTGGTTACAAGAATCGACCCTGTGGGGCACAGGTTCTTGCGAGTGTTGAGCACCTTAGCGTTCCCTCTGAGGGTATGTGGTATATCAGTGCAAACATGTAAAAGCAAAAATAAGTACCCTATTGGAGTCTCGGCCAGTTGCGTCATCAATGTCTGGCACAGTGCCAACACCACAGCAGTCAGGCAAGATGATTTTTCAGGAACACTGCCACGTTCACTGTGTATTGCCTTCTTATGTAACGCGGCGTTGCATTGCAGGGCCCTTTCTGCCACTTATATCCACTCTAGCACTTCTTATATATTCTAGCCAGTCCTACCAAATTTCGAACCCAACCTTGCAACTTGACGGGGCAATGGTTCGTGTGCGCGTGAACAAGAGCGAACTGGAGAAGTCAGTTAAGGACACGACGTTCACGATGATCGAAACGTGCGAACGGTGTCTAAAACACCCGAATCCTGTGAGAGCAGGTCAGGTCCTCACAGAGCTGATGGGCTATCGTAGACCTAAGGCCACCGCGGTGACAATGGACACAAGTCTCTTCCGTCCCCAAGTTCCCTGGCTTCCAATGTAGTTGACCGTTACACAGTCTACCAATCAGTCATTTATCAGTCGATCACCACAACTGCGGGAACAGGAGACCAGGCCACCCCAGGAGAAACGAACAGCGGGGAAGACACACAGCCGTCGCAGGTAAGCGGGATGCACGAAATAATATTACTGCGTGTAACGCCGGTTCGTGCGACTGGTTTGGTTTGGTTAAAATTGAGTTTTAGGGTTAGGGTTAGGGTTAGGACAGGTTTAGGTTTAGGTTGTAGGTTTTAGGTTAGGTTAGTTTTGACGGAGTTGGACATGATGTGCACGTGACTTGGTGCAAGCAGTCACCGTTTTCGTGCAAGCAGTCACCGATTTGATGCAGGGAGTAATTTTATGCCGAGATGCACGCAGGAGGTACTGACAGATGTTCCACTGTACTGCCAAAAAGGGCACGCCTGGCCGCGACGAAGGAACCTCTACACCGCCAAAGCTCTGCCTCTGTCTCCCCAGCCGAGCGACGAAGCCCCCCTGTCGACCATCACACCTTCGAGGGGCAGGGGTCGCCTCGAGTCATCAATGCACGTGCTGACAGGACGAGCCGCCCGCCCCACCTCGCGCGTGACTCCCTCCGAATTTGCCTGGCTGGCTCCGTTGGATACGTTCTTGGCAGACTCACCCTGACGTTGCAGCCACCACGGACCTGACGCTGAACCGTCGTCGGCGCATTCCTCGCCAGGTGGTGGATCGCGCGCTGAGGTGTCGCCCACCATGGCAGGGCAACCGGCAAAGATGCTGCGCCCGGAAACGCCGGCGCATTGGGCGTCGCGCAGCGCCCAGCAGCCGGCCTGCCCCCAAGCCGGTGGCCAGCACAAGCCGGCGGCCACCGCGCTCCAGGGGCGCCGCCCCGGCGAAGCGATCCGCCAAGGCGCTGCCGATTGATGGCGTCCACCGGACGGCCGTCCTGCCCGGCGGGGCGACATTGCCGCGCCGGGCCAAGCGCGTTCGGCCCCGAGACGGGTCCGAATCGCGTCCACGCGCTCTGCAATTCTTACGAGAGGATGATGCCAGGTGGGTGGCGCGCCGCGGTGGCTGCACGCGGGTTGCCTGGCGGCGGCTTGGGCCTTCCGGCCGCCTCGGACAGAGCTTCGGCGCTGGGCTTGATCGCCTTGGGTGGGTGGGCGCTGGGGTGGGGGGTTGGGGGGGTTCGGCCTGGGGTTCCGTTCTGCGGGTCCAAACGGCTGGTGCGGGTCCCCAAGTCGTGCGTCCGTGTGGTGCACTGCCCCCGGGGATTCGCAGTGTGCGTGGCTCGGCCTGCGCGCCCGCTGTTGATGGGACGAGGGACCGTGGCCTTTTGGCGTGAGCTGGCGGTTGTGGGCCGGCTCGAGCGCCGCGCAACACGCCTTGGGCGCTGCAGGCGCATGTGGCCTGGCAGCGGCGCGCTGATTTTGGCCGCCGCCGGGCGAGGGAGCATTGCGGCGGGTATCTTTGGCGCTGGCGGAGATGCCGTTCCCCGGCCGCGAACCCAACTTACGGGACTGGGCTTGTGCCGCAGCTGGGAGAAAACACACGATGCAACACAGGGGCGGTGGAGGCGGGGTGGGAGACGTGTCAGCCAAGGTGCGTCTGGTCCCTTGTTGAGTAGGGAATGCAAAGGGCATCAGCACGCTGCGCTTACTTGGGATGTTGTTAGGGCGCTGCCGGCGCAGGGTGAAAAAGTCTGGGCCGTTTGTGGCCCGGCGCTCGGATCCGTAACTGTGCTCTGCGCTGCCAACCCACCAACTCCTGGCCGACAGTTGGCCTTGCCCTGAATGTGCTGCAAGTGGATGTTTGTAGCCCCAGCCACACCGCCACCTCCTCCCTTGACAAGATGCGTGTCTACCATTTCACCCTGGAGTTGCTGGCTGTGCTTACATTTTGCAGGGCTCGGCGTCCGAACAGCTGTGTGCTCCTCGAGAAGTCAAGTTTATTGTGCCGGTGCGAGTGAACTACGGTGACTCTGTCAAGGTCGTCGGAAATGAGAGCGCTCTGGGGGGCTGGGATTACGACAGGGGGATTCCCCTGCAATGGAGCGAAGGAAATATTTGGACCAACAAGGTGGACCTGAATCCTGGAGCATACGAGTTCAAGGTGAGGCACTGCATGATGTATTGTGACTGCAAATGGCAGGGCGTTACGTTGTTGGCTGCTCAGCAGGTGTTGCCAGCCATGCTGTCCTGTTGCTCTCAGCTTGGTGTGAGTTCCGATTGTCTGTTTTGCAGTGTGTTGTTGGGGCCAGCGATGGGGGAGTGCAGTGGGAGCCTGGCAACAACCGAAGCCTTAATGTGAGCATCAGGCTGGATGTGCTTGGGCTGCCAGTGAGGACAGTTATCCCAGCAGTCGGCCTGGCAACCTGCCTAATTTAATTAATAAAAATATTAAAATTATTAAAATTATTTATTCCATGTTCGCTGTCCGATGAAGCACTGTTTTCTCTGATGTCAGTTTCACTGTCGTTGTCGATGGTCTTGAGGATATTTGGCGGTGCTCAGCTGGGCTGCTTTCTTTGCATCATTTGTGCATTGGGTGGATCAGCGCTGCGGAATATTCATCAAAAAACGATGGGTTGTTCGCACCTGTCACATGCACAAGCTGTTACACAATCAGTGCTGGCCCATGGCAGTTTTGGTAGTGCTTTCATATGATGGCTCCTGAGTTGGGCTACATATGTGGGACACGAGTGTGTGAGAAGTGACAATTCGCCAATTGTGTTCTGAGTGTTGTTGTGGTTGGACAACAATGAAAGGTACACCCAGAGATGAGCCAGGTGGAAGTGTGCTGTGAATGGTGGGACACACAGAAAACATGCAGCTCGCCAGGTGGTGATGCAACTCTGGAGTACATGCAAGACAAACTCCTGCCCATGGAAATGATGATTGTGGAGGAACCCAAGGATAAAGAGTTCCTGGACCTGCCAAGCGCTGTCTCGCAGCCTCCTGATGGCAAGATGGTTGACCACCTCTTTCTGGGGGAAGACAAGCAGGAAGACGCAGATGATTGTACAATAGAGCCAACAATTAATGGCACAGAGAATGATGCACGTCCACCTGAGCACCCCACCTCTGCTAATCGCGATGCGCTCTCACTTGCAGATCGTGACAGCTCGTTGGCCTCTGGAGCAGGCAGCACTCCCGATGTGCCTGCCATCGTACGAGTTGAAAATCATGTAGTGGCAACACCAGCGGACTTTCCTGTCCTGAAGGAGGTGCTGGGACTGGTGGCAGCTGGCCACATTGCCCCACATTTCGCAAAGGTATGCCCTGTTGTGAGCTTGCCATGCACCTGTGCCAGGCTAATGTTCACACAGCTGCGATGAATTCAAAACTACACTATCAAGTGTAGCGGGTGCTGTTGTGTTGTATGCTGTCACAGCAGTGAAATTGATGATCATTCGCATTTTCTGGTGCTTGAAGTGCATGTGGTTGAGATGCAGCAAGAATCCTATGCAACGGCACAGCTCTAGTGGCAGCCTGCCACATGCACATTTTAAACGAGCTATGTGCAGGGCATGTCTTCCCATCCCAAATCCAGCTCGGGGCAGCCAACAGCTGTTCCACAGCTTTCTTTTGCGGCTTTGGTGATCACCATTCATTTGCCCTTCAAGTCTGTGTGCTGAACGCTGTCTGCCTTGGATGACTGCAGAGAAAGAAGGGTGGCGAAGATGCATACTTTGTGTCCACAGCTGGCCTGGGTGGAATAGGCGTTGCTGATGGAGTGGGGAGCTGGGCCAGCGATGGTGTGGATCCAGCACGCTATCCACGTGTGCTGATTGGATACATTGCCAAGGCATTGAATGATTCTGATGGCACAGTGTCTGCGCAGGGCGCTCTAGAGTATGCCCAGCAGCAGGCCCATGTGCTTGGTAGTTGCACTGCCTGTGTGGGCCTGCTCAGGGAAGCAGGCATGATGGAAATTGCCAACCTGGGTGACTGTGGTTTCCGTATCATCCGGGAAGGCTGTGTGGTGCATGCGAGCAAGGTGAGCATTCATGCACTCACGTTCCTTCCTGCCTTCTCCCCTCTGGGCAATAGCTTTCTCGTCACCCAGATCGAGATCCATGGATGCTGTTCACCTGCCCAGGGGACAACGCTTCCCTTTGCACATTGTAGGCGATGTGGGCTTTATTCGTCCACCACAGAACCTCCCTGCAGTTTGCTTCCCAGTGTTCACCCCGCCACGCTCTTATGTATTCACATGGGTGTTGACAGTGGGATTGCCAAAACACATGTGCGAATTCATCCCTGGTATGTTTTTGAAGAGCTTTTTCACAGCTTGCTGGGCATCGATTGACACTGTGTGCTGCGCTGCTGCTGCCCCAGGTCCAGCAGCACAACTCCAACCACCCATTTCAGCTTTCGCACCCCACTCTTGCACCCGGCGACTCTGCCGCAGATGCAGAGTTGTATGAGGTCCCTGTTGAAGATGGTGACATTGTTGTCATGGGCACTGATGGTCTGTTTCACAACTTTTGGGACCACGACCTTGGGCCCTTTGTGGGTGGTCTGTGTGGTGGATTGCAACGCACAGAGACGGGAGCACGGTCGATTGCCACTTCCATTGCTGAAGCAGCGCACCGAAATGCAATGGACCACCAATTCTACTCACCGTGGTCAGCTGAGTCGCAGGCACAGGTATGCCAATTCAGCAAAGATGTTGCTGTTCCAATTGTGTTTTAGGCAGCGCCGTTCGATGGTTTTGTTGGCGTCTATACTGTAACGTCGAGTTGTGTGCGCAACACACCGTGGCAGCAAGGGCATGGCATCAACCAGACACAATTTGGTGCCACAGGGTAAAGTGCCGCCAATAGGGCGGCTGAGCTCGATCAGCGGCTGGGACAGCCAGCAAGCAGAATTGAAGCATTTTTTGGTGTCTTCGGGTCAACGTTTCAATTGTATCCTCTTGGTTTGTTGCTGCCCGCTGCAGCGGATACGTGACGAAGCTGGTCAGAAGGGCTGGGGTGCGTGTTGGGCAGCCTGTAAATTCCGATGCCTTCCATGTAAGAGCTGGACAAGGACCATCCACCCACATGCCCTGTAGCGCCACTTAAGAGGTGGGCGCAGGCCCCCTGGCGCCGTCAGTTGAATACCGTACCGTATTTCCAACTTTTTACCGTATCTTCTGTTAATCGTGCGATTTTTTAGCTTTTTTGCGAATTTCTTTGGTCTTCTGTTGTTTTTGTATTTTAGCGGTTTTGGTCATGCTTCCCTACCGCTCCCCAGCCCCCGATTTCCGGCCATTACAAATAATGGTACCGTGTGGACGTTATTTAACGGACGGTAGGGCCGACCCCTATTCCAGTACATTCACAATCGCTACAGCAGCGAGGTTATTTCGGACAATGCTGTGGGTCCCAGCAATCCACGATGTTCCGAGAACACGGAAAATGTGGTACCAGCAGAACTGGAGGACGGACAAGGATAATGCCATGTTTGATGTGGGCAATGGTTTGTGCTTGTGGAACCGTGTGCCCTGACGTCTCTGGCACTCGCTGACTGGTCTTCAGGAAGCAAAGGCCCAACAGTGTGCATGTTGGCGGGCGCGCCCTTGTGCCATGATTACTGCTCCCCTGTGTGTGTTCGAATTCACAGGGT